TCTCTACCGCTAGACCACTCCGTCCCACACCAAGTGAACGCCTAATAAAATGTGTATAAAAGTGCGGGATATTATTAGTACTTTATAAATTTACATGCGTTTTTGAGAAATCATGTCCTCAATTTTAGGGTCCTAGGGGCGTAATTTAATTAAGCTAATTTAGGTCTCTAATTGCTAGTTTTTATGATTGCATCTGAAATTGTTAGGCGAAAATAGCCTGCATGCCGAATTTCAGATCTCTAGAGCAATCAGAAGTGGGCTAATTTTCGTTGTCAATTTTAACAACAAACAAACAAACTCGAAGCTGAGTTAAGAAAAACGTGTTAATAAATTGAAAGGTTGATGGGGGTGCAAATTGAAAGTTTGAGGGGGGGGGGTGCAAATTGAAAAGTTTGCCCCCGGGCGCCGGGAAGGATCGCTACGCCTCTGGTGAGCCCTCGCGGCGCACTTTCAGTTTGGCGCCCCCTATATATATATATATATATATATATATATATATATATATATATATATATATATATATATATATATATATATACATGATAAAGCGCCTTCCCCACCCACCCCCAAGTATAATCTTGGACCAACTTGGTAGAGCGAGTTTTAACCTCTCGAACTCTTTTTTTTTCAATGTTACACAATCGTACAATACGCTTTTTTACAAATGGTTTCTTTTATAAGTGTTAAAGTTTATCAACTCACTAATCCAGTGTAAATTTTCTCCAAAAAAGCGCCCCTCCCCCCTAGGAAGAGCCGGAAAGCGGTTCTTGCCGATCACTGTTTTTTTAGTGCATGTTTTACATTTACACAATTAAGGTAGAAAACAATTGAAGCAGTATGCAAAGGCGTGTATTTGTTAAATTTCTTGACTTTGACTGTTTCTAATTTAAAAATGCAGCTTAAAATGAGCTTTTAATTTTTTTCTAGCCCTTTTGGCGCCCCTCTAGGGTCAGCGCCCGGGGCGACCGCCCTCCCTTAGCTACGCCTCTGATGTGTGGCATCTTCATCATTGAATATCTCAACCAGTGTGGCACAAGCAATGAATATTTCATTCGGTAGACCTACTACTACCAAGAATATACTATCAAGTATAAATTACTTTTAACAAAAAGGTGTTTTCAGGGTTTTTCACATGTTTCCAGTTATAGTTATAGGTCAGGACAAATAGTAGGCCTACACAATAGGCTAGTACTAGTAGTAAATTTAATTATATTTTATTAATCACTAAATCAATTGTTTATTCCACAGCTGGGGACATTTATGATGGCCTATCCAGATCTTTCCTTACAAGGGAAGGGAAGATGGCCAACCCCCCCCCCCCCCCCCCCCCCACAGTTCCCAAAACATATAGCTTACTCTTGATGCTCCACAAGATCAATGTTGAGGGAAACACAAAGATGTGGAGTTGTAGTTTTAAAAACTGTTCCCCCAAAGCAGTTATCAACCCGATAGGTTTGAAAAGAAACCAAAGCATGTGGCATCAACTGCTGCATCACTTGTAGGCATCACGTCTTTATTAGATTACATTACATTACAACTCGACTAAATTTTGATTCTGTTTCTCCTGCACTAGATAACTGTGGCATTTTTAAAAATAATATTTTAACTCATGTGATTTTTGAAAATAATGAACACATTCTTCCTGTTAATGTTACCAACACAATAGTATTCTATGTCGAAAGCAAAGAAAAAAATTAGATTTTTTTTGGTATGAAAATAAAAATGACCAAAAACGCATTCTTGTCATTTTCAATTATTTATTAACTTAGAAAGACTCATTTTAGATGACTGAAAAAAATTGGGCATATATACTACAAACTTTGCAGCAACTTCATCAATTTCTACACTTCTATGTTATTTAGTTTAGAAAATATTGGTTCTCAAAAATGGCACTTTTTGAAAATCAGTTTTTTACCAAATTTTCCTTTTATAAAAATCGCATAACTTTTTTATTTATTGAGATATTTTTATAAAATTTGTGTCATAGAGCTTACAACAATTAAAAGTTCTTTTATGACATACTCACTACGGGAGTCTGCAATCAATAGTTAATTTCAGTTTGGACTACCTACTTCAAGGAGAGGTTGAGGGCGGTTTTTGAAAATATTTGAATTGATAAAATTATTCTAAACAGCCGTTCAACAGCTTATATTCTATACAGAAATATAGAAATGAGTGTAATTGATGGTTTAATTATTATAAATATAACTATAATTTTATCTCTTGCTATATTTTAAAAAGATTTTTCAAAAAATTTAGTATGATTACATAGACTTTTCATGCCTATTGAATATATCAATAAATTAATTAACGTCTTTAAATAAATTTGTGTTTTACAGTTCTATACATAGTGCATATGTTCTCATGAAACGGAACACCCAAACAAATAAATAAATATACAAACTTGTAAAAAAAACACTTGAATTTTAGAAGTATACAGATTATGTTGGTATTTGTGTTATTAGTATTTTCGGAAACTAAATTTTAAAAAGCCAAAAACAATTTTGTTGTTTTCACTTTATCACTGAACATGTAAACAGTTGTAGGTTGGTGGGTCACCTCAGTTGTATGTTGGTGGGTCACCTTATAGGCCTATGTAAATTATGATTGACTTCATCAATGTAGATTTTTTTGGTCTGTAGAAATGTTTGGTCTGTAGAAATGTTTGTATGTTTGGTCTGTAGAAATATTTGTATGTTTGGTCTGTAGAAATGTTTGTATGTTTGGTCTGTAGAAATGTTTGTATGTTTGGTCTGTAGAAATGTTTGGTCTGTAGAAATGTTTGTATGTTTGGTCTGTAGAAATGTTTGGTCTGTAGAAATGTTTGTATGTTTGGTCTGTAGAAATATTTGTATGTTTGGTCTGTAGAAATGTTTGTATGTTTGGTCTGTAGAAATGTTTGTATGTTTGGTCTGTAGAAATGTTTGGTCTGTAGAAATATTTGGTCTGTAGAAATGTTTGTATGTTTGGTCTGTAGAAATGTTTGTATGTTTGGTCTGTAGAAATGTTTGGTCTGTAGAAATGTTTGTATGTTTGGTCTGTAGAAATGTTTGGTCTGTAGAAATGTTTGTATGTTTGGTCTGTAGAAATGTTTGTATGTTTGGTCTGTAGAAATGTTTGGTCTGTAGAAATGTTTGTATGTTTGGTCTGTAGAAATGTTTGGTCTGTAGAAATGTTTGTATGTTTGGTCTGTAGAAATGTTTGTATGTTTGGTCTGTAGAAATGTTTGGTCTGTAGAAATGTTTGGTCTGTAGAAATGTTTGTATGTTTGGTCTGTAGAAATGTTTGGTCTGTAGAAATGTTTGTATGTTTGGTCTGTAGAAATGTTTGTATGTTTGGTCTGTAGAAATGTTTGGTCTGTAGAAATGTTTGTATGTTTGGTCTGTAGAAATGTTTGGTCTGTAGAAATGTTTGTATGTTTGGTCTGTAGAAATGTTTGGTCTGTAGAAATGTTTGTATGTTTGGTCTGTAGAAATGTTTGTATGTTTGGTCTGTAGAAATGTTTGGTCTGTAGAAATGTTTGTATGTTTGGTCTGTAGAAATGTTTGGTCTGTAGAAATGTTTGTATGTTTGGTCTGTAGAAATATTTGTATGTTTGGTCTGTAGAAATGTTTGTATGTTTGGTCTGTAGAAATGTTTGTATGTTTGGTCTGTAGAAATGTTTGTATGTTTGGTCTGTAGAAATGTTTGGTCTGTAGAAATATTTGGTCTGTAGAAATGTTTGTATGTTTGGTCTGTAGAAATGTTTGTATGTTTGGTCTGTAGAAATGTTTGGTCTGTAGAAATGTTTGTATGTTTGGTCTGTAGAAATGTTTGGTCTGTAGAAATGTTTGTATGTTTGGTCTGTAGAAATGTTTGTATGTTTGGTCTGTAGAAATGTTTGGTCTGTAGAAATGTTTGTATGTTTGGTCTGTAGAAATGTTTGGTCTGTAGAAATGTTTGTATGTTTGGTCTGTAGAAATGTTTGTATGTTTGGTCTGTAGAAATGTTTGGTCTGTAGAAATGTTTGGTCTGTAGAAATGTTTGTATGTTTGGTCTGTAGAAATGTTTGGTCTGTAGAAATGTTTGTATGTTTGGTCTGTAGAAATGTTTGTATGTTTGGTCTGTAGAAATGTTTGGTCTGTAGAAATGTTTGTATGTTTGGTCTGTAGAAATGTTTGGTCTGTAGAAATGTTTGTATGTTTGGTCTGTAGAAATGTTTGGTCTGTAGAAATGTTTGTATGTTTGGTCTGTAGAAATGTTTGTATGTTTGGTCTGTAGAAATGTTTGGTCTGTAGAAATGTTTGTATGTTTGGTCTGTAGAAATGTTTGGTCTGTAGAAATGTTTGTATGTTTGGTCTGTAGAAATGTTTGTATGTTTGGTCTGTAGAAATGTTTGGTCTGTAGAAATGTTTGTATGTTTGGTCTGTAGAAATGTTTGGTCTGTAGAAATGTTTGGTCTGTAGAAATGTTTGTATGTTTGGTCTGTAGAAATGTTTGGTCTGTAGAAATGTTTGTATGTTTGGTCTGTAGAAATGTTTGGTCTGTAGAAATGTTTGGTCTGTAGAAATGTTTGTATGTTTGGTCTGTAGAAATGTTTGTATGTTTGGTCTGTAGAAATGTTTGTATGTTTGGTCTGTAGAAATGTTTGGTCTGTAGAAATGTTTGGTCTGTAGAAATGTTTGTATGTTTGGTCTGTAGAAATGTTTGGTCTGTAGAAATGTTTGTATGTTTGGTCTGTAGAAATGTTTGGTCTGTAGAAATGTTTGGTCTGTAGAAATGTTTGTATGTTTGGTCTGTAGAAATGTTTGTATGTTTGGTCTGTAGAAATGTTTGGTCTGTAGAAATGTTTGTATATTTGGTCTGTAGAAATGTTTGGTCTGTAGAAATGTTTGGTCTTTAGAAATGTTTGTATGTTTGGTCTGTAAAAATGTTTGTATGTACCCCACACCATACAAGAGCCATTAGTTGAGCTTGCCAATTTTTGTCAACTCCAAGTTCGCTTTTTTATTTCGTGTTAGAATACATAGAGGAAATAGCAAGAATACAAATTGGGGTGAAGCATATTCAGGGCATCCCTTGTCCAGATGAGATCAAGGTAAGACAAGTTTCATGCATAGTTGTGTAATGACTTGCTATGTAATGACCGGCCATGGAATGAATGGCCATGGAGTTGAAACACAATCAAAATTGTTTTTAAAGTTTGTTGATGTGGTGGATTGGAACTTTTTTTTGCTACATTTTTCATTGTTTGGTTTTAATTTTTAGTTTTTATGTTTTTTACTTTCTCGTATATACGAAGTAGGCCTTATAAATTATAGAGAAAGTCTTGTAATCGTGTAAAAAAAAATCGAGATTTTTGTAAATCTCGACGTTTTACAGCTCCCTGAGTCGGAAGTTTTGCAATCTTGTCCGTCTATTTGTGTGTGTCTGTAAACAAGATAACTTGAGTACCGTTACAGCTGGGTTGATGAAATTTCATAAATAAGTATTTTTATATCAAAATCTTAGATCCGTATCAACTTTTGAGCAATTTCTAATAACCGGAAGTGGAACTTTTTCTACTTTCAATTTTTCGAATGCCTATAACTTGAGTACCATTTCAGATAGATAAATGAAATTTCACATGTGAGTTAAAGATCTAATTCTCTGCTTTCTGTCAAATTTTGAGTAATTTCTGGAAGTAGTAATTTTCGCTATTTCTGATTTCTGAAGAAAAAAACCGCATTGAATTTATAAAGTACTAATAATATTCCGCACTATTATGCACATTTTGTGTGGCGTTCATGTGGTGTGCAATTCTTTTTTCTACAAGAGTTTATTTTATTTTAAAATAGTTTAAGTAATTAAAAATAGATTAAAAATCATGTCTATATCATGATGTGGTATCTCCCTTGGTGTGTCAGATAAGAATATTATTAGTTTTAAATTTTAAAAATTTTAGTTTTAAATTTTTTAGTTTTTAATTTTAAAATTTTGAATTGTTCACTAATTGTAGCACAAGGACATCATGCCTGAATTTCCAGTTGTTGAAAGAAAGTATTTCCTTCAGTTTATGATACCAGTCGGGGACCCAACATTGCCTTTATTTGTTGGTTCAGAAAACTGGACAGAGGCAAATTCTTTGACCAGCGTGGCCCAGGCCACTTCAGAACCAGTAAGTGACAGCAGGGATCAGTGGGATTGTGACAACAGGGATCAGTGGGATTGTGACAACAGGGATCAGTGGGATTGTGACAACAGGGATCCGTGGGATTGTGACAACAGGGATCAGTGGGATTGTGACAACAGGGATCAGTGGGATTGTGACAACAGGGATCCATGGGATTGTAACAACAGGGATCAGTGGGATTGTGACAACAGGGATCAGTGGGATTGTGACAACAGGGATCCGTGGGATTGTGACAACAGGGATCAGTGGGATTGTGACAACAGGGATCAGTGGGATTGTGACAACAGGGATCCATGGGATTGTGACAACAGGGATCAGTGGGATTGTGACAACAGGGATCAGTGGGATTGTGACAACAGGGATCAGTGGGATTGTTATTCTTGATGCCAGCAAAGTATGGGGCCAAGTTTGCCAAGTTCTGGATATCTTACGGAAACAAGAAACACAGTGACCGACTCCAGCCAATCAGATGGAAGACCGTCAGATGATGTCAGTGGTGTGGAATCTAGTAAGTCAACACAAACACTATGGTGATGGATGAAATGTTGGTGGTGGATGAAATGTTGGTGGTGGATGAAATGTTGGTGGTGGATGAAATGTTGGTGATGGATGAAATGTTGGTGGTGGATGGAATGTTGGTGATGGATGAAATGTTTAGCTGGAACTATAGGTTGAAACTAATTTTAAACATTGAATGACTCAAAGACTCACTTTAATTAGCTGTAGACTGTCAAATACTACCATATGAGCTCATCCATATATGACATCACACTCCTGGGGGGGGGGGGGGGAGATTAATTTTGTGATGATATGTGACGCCACACATTTATATTTTTTTAAAAATTTAGTCAGGGAATTTTAGTTTGCATTTTAGAAACTTTTAGTAAATTGTAGCCAAATAGAAGTTGATTAATTTACTCTGCGTTGACTGAGCATAATCAATATTTTAAAAAGAAATCGGTGTTTTGAAAGAAACTAAACTTCAATATTGAGAGTGGTTTTTGGCTGAGGTGTGATGTCATTATTTGGGGGGGGGGGGGGTGCTGGATTTTTGTGACAGTGGGGAAAGGGGTAAAAAGCATTTTAAAATAACCATGACGTCATTTATGGATTTAGTTATGTTGTATGTGTTTGATCCCTATATATTCTATCAGTGAATAAACATGTTTGTTATATTAGTCATACATTGTTGGACTTGAAATTAGTCAACTAAGTAAAATATATTTAATCATATAATATATGATATATTATATTATACATTTATATAAACAATTAACATAAACAATACAATTAAATGTATCTATTTTCATAGTCTATCAATGCTGAATACTGGGAGGACTTTAAAAGCAACATTTAAATAATGGTGATAGTGATTTAAATGTATGTTCTAGTCACTAGACAAAGTGTTGTCCAAAAAATTATCTCCCCCTATTTGACAAGGTGTTGTGTTGTCCAACAAATTATCTACCCCTATTTGACAAGGTGTTGTGTTGTCCAACAAATTATTTCCCCCTATTTGACAAGGTGTTGTCCAACAAATTATCTCCCCCTATCTGACAAGGTGTTGTGTCCTCTGTGGTGGCAAGCCCGGACAAGTCAGGACCAGTCACCGCTGATGTCACTGCTGAGGATGAAAATGCAAATGCTTCATGTAGTTCATCCAGCACCCTGAGAACATCCAGCACTGAGTCCATGTTTCCACTCAAAACAAAACCCATGTCATGGGCGCAAGAACTAGATCTCCACTGGGTTGCTGAGCTTTACAGAAATGACCTCATAACAATGAAAAGATTTTTCAAGAAAGGAATGGACTTTATGTTAATGGAACAAATTGTTAGTACATATGTACATAGATATATACATAAATAAATTTTTATATATAAGCTCACAGTAGATGACCCACTCTACTAAAATAATCTGACAATGCTATAGGTAAAACAAACCAATATCCTGTAGACCCAACATATCACATTTCTTCATCCCCTCTCCCCATGAGAGTTGTCTCTGTTGGATGTCTGTATTGTTTACTTAAACACACTAAATATAAACATCTTCAACCAATATGAAAAATTTAAAAATATTCTTTATTAATCAACAAAACACAATATTAAATGCACAAACTGATGAGTGCCTTAAATAATTCAGTTAAAAATCTGGTTAATCTTAGGTTTTTGTTTCTTTCCTTTAGCTTATGGTTATAGCTAACTTTTTATTTTCTGGTCAACAAAAATTGTTCACAAAGTTATCTGTTTAGTTGAATGTTCAAAAGAAATTTTTAATTTTCCAACCAGATTCTGGGCTACCCCGCTGATCAAATAGACGGAGAAGAAAAAGTTTCTAAAGGCAAAAAGGACAAGGTACGTCGAACATACAGCAAAATTTGTTAAAGTTTTGTCAAATGAACTGACTAAGTAAATAGCAGCTTAAAAATTGTAGTCCATGTGCCTTTAAAAAATGTAGCTCTCTGATTAGGGTAAGGGGAAAGTTCAACTAAATGAGTCCCACATGGGGAGAAGTTGTCCAGTTGGACATCGCTGTCTTTGACTCAGCCATTAGTTAGTACCCAACTGACCTGCGTGTGATGGCAGGTGTAAGGAATATTTTCTTGTGTGCTGTGGGCTTGACTCCATCTATTATTTTTTCCCTTGGAACAATCTGTAATTGACTCTGGCTGTCCCACATGTAAATCACATGGTCACAGCTGCAGTACATGGACTAGAGAGATTGGACCAGTTTCGCACACAAATCATCAAATTGTCTCTTGATTTAGAGCTTGTCTATTCATGTCATCACAAGCAGATCCCTCTCCCCAATGCTCATCACAAAAGCCAAGATTTAAAAATCATTTTTTTTTCTTGGGATCCAAATTTTTCAGTCTAAAGACAAAGAAAAACCAGAAGAAATGCTGCAAAAGACAAAAAAGGTTGAACAAAATAACCCTTTTCATCTTATCCTTTTTAATGTGTCGGAAGAGGTTAAAAACTAAAAACAAAATGTATTTCAAAATTTTTCATTTTTATCTTATTTATTTTTTTTATGCTAATTTGTAACTTTTCTAAGGTTTCTATGATTGTAGTTTATAAAAAATGAAACTAAAAAAATCCAATCTGAAAAATATTTTTAACTGAAATTGTTGTACACAACAACCTAAAATCTGTTATATGAAAAAAGACCAACTTATTATATATATATATACAAAGTATAAAATTATGCGTTTGTATACCGTTCCGCTCCTTGTCGTGGTCTGAGGTCTATAGGACAAAGGGAAACAAACTAGTTAATTTTTTTTTAGCAAATTGATCTAAACCTGGTTAATTCCTCTGAATATTTAAAATTCCTTATTTTTATTCTGGGGCCCAAAATCAAATTTTCTCCCGCAGAAAGAACAAAACACATACTTTCATATATATATATATATATGTGTAGTCAGATTTTATTCTACTGCACCTGGTGACAAGACTCATTGTAATACAATGTGTAGATTTTTTTTTAATCTTCAAAATAATTTTAAAAACTAGTTTCACAGTTGTAGTTTTGATATTTTTCTTCTTCATAGATTAGAAATAGAATTAGACCTGGCAAGCAGAGCTTTTGATTTGACTAAAACTAAAAGTTTTATCTCTTTCCTCCTACATCTACCCATCCAAGTTGCACCTGTCTGTTTGATGTGTGATATATTTCTAATTTGGTAGCAGTAATTTCAGTGAATTTAACTTCTTGTTTAATCTAGTCTAATCTAAGTCTAATGTATTAGTCTTTATAAAATTCTTTTTTTTTAAAATTCAGTGCAACATTTTTATTTTTAGAATTCACCTTAACAATGAAGGCATCACATTTTAAAAAATTCTTTCTACAACTCTAAAGTTGATCCATGTTTTCAGGATGTGAAGAAGAAAAAAGATGTTGAGATAGTTCAGTCTGAGACAACAGTAAACACCATTGCAACTTTTCATGCACCATTGGAATGTTTTCTGGAGGGGGAATATGAATACAGCAATGTTTTCACTGAAAACATTTCTTGCTCCTCCCCTCTCTCTCAGCTTGATGATGATAAAAACAGCGTAAGCCACACATCTTAGTTCAATCCTTTCTCAAATACTTGCAGCTAAAGAAAAAACGTATTCTCTTTATATCCACTACTTACAGAAACTGAAGAAAAAATTACTATTCCAATTTTTTTTTTCAGTTAAAGAAAAAAGAAAAGAAAAAAGATGATATTCCAGATCCAAAAGATAAAAATAAAAGTAAGTTTCTCATTTACTGGGTTAGGGTATGCTGTCATGGCCTTCATTTAACTGGTGGGGTGGGGGTGGTAGCGATATGATCTGCTGTGCATGCCTGGAGAGCGAGAGGGGGTTGGAGGAGGTTTAGATAGTTGGCTTGCATCGTCTTGTCCATGAAGAGAATTTTATGTATAGATAGAAAATTATGCTGGTCTAAACAAAGTTTATGTAACTTTTTATCACTGAGCCCTTCATTATGGAGTAAAGAATTAAAATGTAAATAAATGCACCAATTAAATAAAGGTCATAATGCATAACTTTGTCAAATAAGGGATGTTTTAAAAAGTAAATTATTTTAGCATTTGTGTAGGCAAGGAGGGAGGTGATAACGGACCCCAAAATAATTATTTTTTTCAATTATAATAGTTTAATGAAAATTTGCTTGTTCTATTTAAAAATTGGTCATGTTTAAACCGAAACAAATTCTGTACTCATGTAGGTTTTATTGAGCCATAGAACTGGTTGGTGACCTACATACCAGCCCTTTAGACTAAGATAGGCCTCCCCATAGAACCTTCTATATACATCTGGAAGGGGGGACATTTTTTTATCTCCCCTATACCTATATGGCAAATTAGGCGGGACCTGGAAGTACCGAATAATTTACAACTTTTATTAGATTACACTGACTATACGCAAAGGCGTAGCGATCTATTTAGGCGCTCAGGAGAAACTACCAATTTTGCTCCCCCATCTTCAAATTAGACCTATATATAAAAATATAAGTATTCAAGATGGTGAAAATGCGCCCCACTTCCCTTATTTGAAAAGGTCGGGGTGCATTTTAACCAGTGTTTCGTTTCTTCCAGACTTTTTTTCTCAGGGGGGGGGGGGGGGACGGGACGGACAGATGGATGGACGGAATAAATTTCTAGGGCAGCGTCAGACACTGTTAAAAATATTTATTTTTTTTCTATATAAATTCCATTGTAGTATGAATAATAGTCAAATCTTTAAACCACTTCCTTGCCTTATTCTCTCCTTTTTTATCGTTGAATCGGGGGTGCCGATAAAAGTAATTTTTAAAAATAGTTTTTTTACTAAGCGAGTTAAAATTAAAATTTCTTCTCTTAAGAATTATTATATTTCAGCATCCTGATGAATGACTAGGAAATAAAAAGGAATTAATTCCAAATTAATAGTATAAATGAAAAAAAAAACAAAAAAAACGCAGGAAATCATTACACATATCGTCTCCTTGATTCATAATCTTTGACCGACTTTCCAAATAAGAAGGAACACTATTCATTATTTTCGTTGGGCGTAGATAAGAAATTTTAAAACTTGATTATTCCAAGCCAGAAATGAGTTTACGCTAAATGTTTACAATCGTAGAGCCGGGTTTAGTGACGGCTACTAGGGGCAGATAATTAGTTTGAAACGATTTTAAACTTAGGGGAGGTAACTAAGAGGAGGCTGCTTTCACGGGTTGGGGGTATCGTCCTTAACGACCCGCTGATAATTTTTTAAAGCAAATATTTTCCGTGGCAGCATTGGTACTGTCGAATTCACAAATTATGAATTACTGAAAAGTAGAAAATAAAATAACTAAATAGCGGCATATGATACGCCACGGGTCGGCGAGTATATTAAATATAATATATAATAAGGGGGCCCAAAAAAAAATAATTCCAGGGTAGGGGGTGGGGGGTGTTTGTGCATTTTAATAAGTTTCGCCGGCACTGCACTTGGTTTTTGAGCTGTTTTACAAATGTAAACAGATGCCAAAGCTGCAGCCATGAAGGATGAGAAGAAGAAAAAACAATCTCTAGCCCTGGAGTCTGAGGATGGAGCTGCAGCTGCTCCTTTAGAGATCAAGATTAGTGTCAAGCTTTTTCACTGGACCTCAGCTACTGACCCAATCAATGATGAGAAAAAAAAGAATGATTTATTACGCAAGAAAGAGCAATCAGACCTTGCCTGAAGTCTAATTAAAAACTGTTTTAGTTTTTAAAAAAAAGGAAATGAACTAAAATACTTGTCAATATTTCTGATATAACTCCACTTCCACCACAGAAATAATGTCTTTCTATATAAGTTAGAAATATGTTAGCTCACTAAATACCAAACACATTTTCACACATATAGACTCTTAGCTTAGATTCCCTACATTCTTCCCCTAACCTTGTCATAACAAAAATCTTTCTGCAAAATGATTTTCATTTGGAATAGTTTAAAAAAATATTTGTTTTATCAAGTCTGTTATGTGTTGAAATGATTTTTGTAATTGTATATCTGGCAAAGATGGTGTAGACCATGTGGTGTATCTCTTGTTTAATCAGCCAGGTCAAAGGTCAGCCAGTTATTGGCTGGAAGTTGCCAATTGGGTTATGAAGCAAATATTTGTACTCATTTGTTGTGTCAACTTCATTTAGAATAAGCCAAACGCTACCATTAAGGACTCACTTTTTTTTAAATAAATTGTTTACTTTGGACGTACTTTATGAAAAAAATGTACTTACTAGGAAAAGGAAATAAAATTTTTTAAAACAACTTGCTTACTGTTGCTTCATATGCCAAGAACACTGAAACTGATGAACAACTTTACCTGCCTTACAGATCATTCACAATCTCTGTTATTGGTTATAAAAATGTATTGTAAGACAAAAGAATCAGAGTAGTGGCTCAAAATTGGGTTACAAGATTTGCCATGAACAGATGTTGCAAACTAAATAAAAGTTTGTAAAAAAAAAAAATTTTTATTTATAAATTAACAAGCATGTCATATACAAACTTGACTACTGCATTCAAGTCATAGGTTAAATGCCATTTTTGTAGCCAAATGTACAGAAAACCAAAAGCATAAATGTGAGACAACACTAATGATACAGATGTGAGAACCCATTCTGTGCCACAGATAGACCATGGAATGGGACAACAGTCATGTGATAGATGTCCACACAGACAAAAAATATTTACACTTCACAAAGCACTCAATGTAATGGATGACAAATTTAAAGAAGAATTTGTGCTGAGAGTAGAAAAACCTAACTAGAGTTGTTAACCAAGAATTTTACCCTTTTAAAAATTTTAAAACAAATCTTATTTAAGTATTTCTTTACTCAAAAACTGACTCCAGCACAGTGGGTCTCATCCTTAATCAAACCCCAGGTGTTCCGCAAGTCATCCTAAGCTTAATCAAACCCCAGGTGTTCCGCAAGTCATCCTAAGCTTAATCAAACCCCAGGTGTTCCGCAAGTCGGTGTCAGGGGTTTGGCTCAAGTCACACACCTGACTCTTGTGACTCACATTTTGGATTTTGTCAGTGTAGATGATAGAACTATTACCAAGGGTTTGGTGAATATGTGCATATCAAACTGAAAGGGTTCAGTGCCCAGAAAAAGGTTAAGAATGACTGCTCCAGCATTAAACTCCTGACTCAACACTGGCAAATGTGGAGCTGCTAGAGTTGCTGGTCAATGATGAGAGTGATCCCTCTTTGGCCAGCTGCTGGAAGCGCTGAGGTTTTCTAGGGCTGACAAAGTGAACTTGTTTTTCTGATGACGCCATCAAACTGCAACACAACAGAGATTTCATTAGATTGGTATCAGACTAGTCATGTGTCAACAACTAAGTGGCTCATTCAATCAATTCTTCAGCTCGTGGTTTGGAGGTGAATTCCTTCCTAAATTTTTATTCAAGCAAACACAATTTGAGATGGGATTTTTTAGCCACTGGATGAAATGCCTCAAGTGATGTAAGCAGTGATAGGTGGGTGGGATGGGCCAAATTTGATCTACCAGTTCTCCTTGTCTGAGTCAGCAGTCAAATCTTCCTGGCCACGAAGACAAATGATCTCTGTGATGTTGGTGGTGGTGCTGCTGATGTACACACAGCCAGCACCAGGAGCTGGACCAAGGTAACGGGGAGACTGGACATCAATCACTGTTTGCCTGCCTCTAGAGGAGAAATCAAATATTTGCCAACAACATTAGAGTCACACCAACAGACACCATTAGTCACACCAACAGACACCATTAGAGTCACACCAACAGACACCATTAGTCACACCAACAGACACCATTAGTCACACCAACAGACACCATTAGTCACACCAACAGACACCATTAGTCACACCAACAGACACCATTAGTCACACCAACAGACACCATTAGAGTCACACCAACAGACACCATTAGAGTCACACCAACAGACACCATTAGTCACACCAACAGACACCATTAGTCACACCAACAGACACCATTAGAGTCACACCAACAGACACCATTAGAGTCACACCAACAGACACCATTAGTCACACCAACAGACACCATTAGAGTCACACCAACAGACACCATTAGAGTCACACCAACAGACACCATTAGTCACACCAACAGACACCATTAGTCACACCAACAGACACCATTAGAGTCACACCAACAGACACCATTAGAGTCACACCAACAGACACCATTAGTCACACCAACAGACACCATTAGTCACACCAACAGACACCATTAGAGTCACACCAACAGACACCATTAGAGTCACACCAACAGACACCATTAGTCACACCAACAGACACCATTAGAGTCACACCAACAGACACCATTAGAGTCACACCAACAGACACCATTAGTCACACCAACAGACACCATTAGAGTAACACCAACAGACACCATTAGAGTCACACCAACAGACACCATTAGAGTCACACCAACAGACACCATTAGAGTCACACCAACAGACACCATTAGAGTCACACCAACAGACACCATTAGAGTCACACCAACAGACACCATTAGAGTCACACCAACAGACACCATTAGAGTCACACCAACAGACACCATTAGAGTCACACCAACAGACACCATTAGAGTCACACCAACAGACACCATTAGAGTCACACCAACAGACACCATTAGAGTCACACCAACAGACACCATTAGTCACACCAACAGACACCATTAGAGTCACACCAACAGACACCATTAGAGTCACACCAACAGACACCATTAGAGTCACACCAACAGACACCATTAGTCACACCAACAGACACCATTAGTCACACCAACAGACACTATTAGTCACACCAACAGACACCATTAGAGTCACACCAACAGACACCATTAGAGTCACACCAACAGACACCATTAGAGTCACACCAACAGACACCATTAGTCACACCAACAGACACCATTAGAGTCACACCAACAGACACCATTAGTCACACCAACAGACACCATTAGAGTCACACCAACAGACACCATTAGAGTCACACCAACAGACACCATTAGAGTCACACCAACAGACACCATTAGAGTCACACCAACAGACACCATTAGAGTCACACCAACAGACACCATTAGTCACACCAACAGACACCATTAGTCACACCAACAGACACCATTAGAGTCACACCAACAGACACCATTAGTCACACCAACAGACACCATTAGTCACACCAACAGACACCATTAGTCACACCAACAGACACCATTAGAGTCACACCAACAGACACCATTAGAGTCACACCAACAGACACCATTAGTCACACCAACAGACACCATTAGAGTCACACCAACAGACACCATTAGAGTCACACCAACAGACACCATTAGAGTCACACCAACAGACACCATTAGTCACACCAACAGACACCATTAGAGTCACACCAACAGACACCATTAGAGTCACACCAACAGACACCATTAGAGTCACACCAACAGACACCATTAGAGTCACACCAACAGACACCATTAGTCACACCAACAGACACCATTAGAGTCACACCAACAGACACCATTAGAGTCACACCAACAGACACCATTAGAGTCACACCAACAGACACCATTAGAGTCACACCAACAGACACCATTAGAGTCACACCAACAGACACCATTAGTCACACCAACAGACACCATTAGAGTCACACCAACAGACACCATTAGTCACACCAACAGACACCATTAGAGTCACACCAACAGACACCATTAGAGTCACACCAACAGACACCATTAGAGTCACACCAACAGACACCATTAGAGTCACACCAACAGACACCATTAGAGTCACACCAACAGACACCATTAGAGTCACACCAACAGACACCATTAGTCACACCAACAGACACCATTAGAGTCACACCAACAGACACCATTAGAGTCACACCAACAGACACCATTAGAGTCACACCAACAGACACCATTAGTCACACCAACAGACACCATTAGTCACACCAACAGACACCATTAGAGTCACACCAACAGACACCATTAGAGTCACACCAACAGACACTATTAGTCACACCAACAGACACCATTAGAGTCACACCAACAGACACCATTAGAGTCACACCAACAGACACCATTAGAGTCACACCAACAGACACCATTAGTCACACCAACAGACACCATTAGAGTCACACCAACAGACACCATTAGAGTCACACCAACAGACACCATTAGTCACACCAACAGACACCATTAGAGTCACACCAACAGACACCATTAGAGTCACACCAACAGACACCATTAGAGTCACACCAACAGACACCATTAGAGTCACACCAACAGACACCATTAGAGTCACACCAACAGACACCATTAGAGTCACACCAACAGACACTATTAGTCACACCAACAGACACCATTAGAGTCACACCAACAGACACCATTAGAGTCACACCAACAGACACCATTAGAGTCACACCAACAGACACCATTAGTCACACCAACAGACACCATTAGAGTCACACCAACAGACACCATTAGTCACACCAACAGACACCATTAGTCACACCAACAGACACCATTAGAGTCACACCAACAGACACCATTAGAGTCACACCAACAGACACCATTAGAGTCACACCAACAGACACCATTAGAGTCACACCAACAGACACCATTAGAGTCATGGGAGACAGGATTGTCCAGAGAACTTACTTGGCTTGTGACTTGTCAGTTGGTACTACAGTAGCCTGGATTGTGTTGGTGTAAGTTACATATAAAAATGGCTCCACATAGGCTGCAGGTTGAAGAAAAGAAATCAACATGAGAATCTTCATCTCTCAATACTTGTTCAAGGAACAGAGATATTTAAAGACAACATTATTTTAACAAAAATACTTGAGGAAATTACCAAAAATAAATTGTCAAATGTATTTGTTATAGTCAATTTTTTTTTTAAAATATGAAACAATTGTTTTTCTTTCTACAGACTGTATCTTACTTTACAACTAGTCTAGTACCTGACTGAGGTACTTACCAAAAGCAAGAGGTAAGCCACTCCACTTGATATCTGTAGCTCGACTTCTCTGCCCACGGTGATCAACAAAAACTCCAAATTCTGACCAAAAAAATTTTACCGACTAAATTTACTAAAGTCACAAACCATGAAAATATAAAATTCATCAAACAAAATGTAATAGCCCAGTAGCATGTAAAAAAAAAAAAGGTCTCACCATGAAAACATAATAAAAATTCTAAAGGCAAACTCTCAGGTGAAACCCGGACTACAGATAGGGGAAAGCTGTTGTGATTGGCTGCTCCATAGGCAGCAAATGCTAAGGAGTTGTCCTGACGGTCAACAAAGTCTGAAAGAAAGAAAAATGACTAAATGAAATGACCAAATGAAATGACCAAGTTGTGCCTAAAGCTGGTGAGAAAAGTCAATCTTGATAGCACTGGTTGGTCCAGGTTTTCTTCTACCAGCACAAAGCTCAGTGGGTCAACATCTCTAGTTGACATCATTTATTGGATACAGGACATTAAACTCAAACACAAGCTCAATGAAAAAACTAGCATGTGTTCAAACTAAATGCAAGTGATGAAAAAAAAAGGTGCCTACCTAGAAGACTGGGATGTTCTATGTTAATCTTGTAGAAGCGTTCAGTGCCTACAATGGCATAGTTGTCAGCTAGACACACACAGCTGCACGGCTCAGAGCTAGGGAATTCCTGGTCAAAACACATTCAAGTCAAATAGAGAGGCAAATAATCTAGTCAAAACACATTCAAGTCAAATGGAGAGGCTATCTAGTCAAAACACATTCAAGTCAAATGGAGAGGCTATCTAGTCAAAACACATTCAAGTCAAATGGAGAGGCAATCTAGTCAAAACACATTCAAGTCAAATGGAGGGACAAATAATCTAGTCAAAACACATTCAAGTCAAATGGAAGGACAAATAATCTAGTCAAAACACATTCAAGTCAAATGGAGAGGCAATCTAGTCAAAACACATTAAAGTCAAATGGAGAGACAAATAATCTAGTCAAAAGACATTCCAGTCAAATGAGTGGAGCTGAGTGCTGACCTTTCTAACGCAGTACATGGCCAGGCTGGGATTGTATTTCATGAGGTAAAGTTTGCTTGGGGTCCCCACACACAAGTAGCTGGCGTTGTTCCACAGAGCCACGTCAAATATCGTGCAACACTGCAAGCCTTCCACAGTTTTAAATGAGAAGGGTGTGGTCTCTCCACCCAAAGTTTGGCTCATGCGACATTTCACCAGCTTGTTCTCCAGCATCACCAGTCTTCTTTCTGGACCTGCAACAGGAAATCTACATCAGCACCAACAGCATTCTAAGCATTCAAAAAGCTCCTAAGCCCAAAATCCTTGTTCCCTTGAGTTAAATGTACACACAACAAACTAGCAATGAAAAAATAAATACTATTAAGCTGAATTTTTTTTTGAATAAACATTTCTCATAAATCATCACTAGTACTAAGATTTAGTATGCCAGTCCTCCCATTAGGTAAGCCCCAGAGCCAGGTAGAAGGCTGACTGTTGAAATACTTCAAAACATGCTTTGGTCTGTGGGTGCAGCCATGTCTAAGGTGTCTCAGCTTGGACCTATCTAAATATGCTGAGTAGGCCAGGTTGTATGAGCTAAATAAATTGATGGGGCCGGGTTGTATGAGCTAAATAAATTGATGGGGCCGGGTTGTATGAGCTAAATAAATTGATGGGGCCGGGTTGTATGAGCTAAATAAATTGAAGGGGCCGGGTTGTATGAGCTAAATAAATTGATGGGGCCGGGTTGTATGAGCTAAATAAATTGATGGGGCCGGGTTGTATGAGCTAAATAAATTGATGGGGCCGGGTTGTATGAGCTAAATAAATTGATGGGGCCGGGTTGTATGAGCTAAATAAATTGATGGGGCCGGGTTGTATGAGCTAAATAAATTGATGGGGCCGGGTTGTATGAGCTAAATAAATTGAAGGGGCCGGGTTGTATGAGCTAAATAAATTGAAGGGGCCGGGTTGTATGAGCTAAATAAATTGAAGGGGCCGGGTTGTATGAGCTAAATAAATTGAAGGGGCCGGGTTGTATGAGCTAAATAAATTGATGGGGCCGGGTTGTATGAGCTAAATAAATTGATGGGGCCGGGTTGTATGAGCTAAATAAATTGAAGGGGCCGGGTTGTATGAGCTAAATAAATTGATGGGGCCGGGTTGTATGAGCTAAATAAATTGAAATTGAAGGGACCAAACCGAGTGGTTTACCTGTGAGCAGAAGGATCAAATCCACCCCTTTAGCTAAAGCCATCTGGTGAACACTGCCAAAGCCTGTCAGCTGAGTCATGTGTTTACGTTTGGAGGTCAGAGCTTGGGGGTTGAAGGCATACAGCCCATCATCTGTTCCCACTAGGACAAGCTGAGGACACATCAATGCTACTATCATTCTACATTCAAGGTACATTTAATCACCTTTACAATAAATAGCAGTGGTAAATAAATACATTACAAATACCAGAGGTATACATGAAAGAAAAAAGCAACAAGGTTCCAGGTGCATAGCACCCACATGTTTCAAGTCCATAGTTCACCCGCACGTTCCAGGTCTATATTCCCCCCCCCCCCACATGTTCCAGGTCTATATCTCCCCCCCCCCCCCCACATGTTCCAGGTCTACAGACTCCACCCCCCCAAATGTTCCAGGTTTATAGCTCCACCCAGCCCCTCCCCCCACATGTTCTAGGTCTATTGCTAAACCCCCCCCCCCCCACATGTTCCAGGTCTATAAACTCCACCCCCCACATATTCCAGGTCTATAGCCCCCCCCCCCAAATGTTCCAGGTCTATAGACCCAGATACACCTCATGTTCAAGGTGTATAGACCCCCAAACCCCCCCCCCCCACATGTTCCAGGTCTGTACGCTCCACCCCCCATTCCAGGTCTATAGTTCCCCCCCCCCCCCCTGTGTTCCAGATCTATACCCCCCCCCCACATGTTCCAGGTGCTCCCAAAACTTTTACAGACTTATTTTCCAGATTTCTGGAATTATCTCAGGGTGTGTGGATTTTAGAAATAAAAACATCTAACTTTTTTCCCTAGATGTCATACATTAAAATGGTCCACTTTAACTCAATTGCTACTAAAGCCTATCTCAAAACCCTACCCAGGCCCTTAGCTAAGTGAGGTAACCCACTTTAACTCAATTGCTACTAAAGCCTATCTCAAAACCCTACCCAGGCCCTTAGCTAAGTGAGGTAACCCACTTTAACTCAATTGTTACTAAAGCCTATCTCAAAACCCTACCCAGGCCCTTAGCTAAGTGAGGTAACCCACTTTAACTCAATTGTTACTAAAGCCTATCTCAAAACCCTACCCAGGCCCTTAGCTAAGTGAGGTAACCCACTTTAACTCAATTGTTACTAAAGCCTATCTCAAAACCCTACCCAGGCCCTTAGCTAAGTGAGGTAACCCACTTTAACTCAATTGCTACTAAAGCCTATCTCAAAACCCTACCCAGGCCCTTAGCTAAGTGAGGTAACCTACAACAACTTTTAACTATCTGATTCTTTAATACAATTTGAAAACTATAATAATGCCTAAATGTTTACGCAAAAACAAGTGTAAAAATTTGAACAAAAACTCAACTTAGTAAGCTGAGTATAAATATTTTTTTAAATGCTTTTTTAGAACAAAATTTTGTGTATTTTTGTACTAGATTCAGTAAATGTAAAAAGCTTAGAAGAAGAAGCACTTTTTGCATGAAAATAATGCGACAGAAACACAATAGGTTAAAGGAAGTAATTAGTTGCATTAGTAGCATATGAGTTATAAGGATACACCCAGTGCTCATCAAATAGAAGATGTTTGTAGAGCTACTGGCTGACTCCATGACAAGCCTAGACCAGAGTTAGCAATGTGCCCTTACCTGAGCAGAGATAACCAATGTACAGTTGAACTCTCTGCGCTCCTCTTCTTTCAGTGACATTACAATCAGTGTTTGAGACCTCTGAAGACAAAAAATAAATATTGAAACTTACATGCACAAATCACGCATTACTTCACACATTTTCTTTTGATATATTCTGTATAGGGTCATTTGTCAAGAAAACCAACAAAGCCATGAATGATATAACAAGGCCTTGAATGATATAACAAGGCCATGAATGATATAAGGCCATGAATGATATAACAAGGCCTTGAATGATATAACAAGGCCATGAATGATATAACAAGGCCATGAATGATATAACAAGGCCATGAATGTACTTACATTTCTATACAAGTCGCTCTTGCACTGGGCACTTTTCACAATAGCTTCTAATGATGCAACCCATCTCTGCTTCTCTTGAAAATTAGTGGTCATCAGGTACAAATATCTAATGGGAGAAATCAGGTTAATGAGGTCTTAGTGGTCATCAGGTACAAATATCTAATGGGAGAAATCAGGTTAATGAGGTCTTAGTGGTCATCAGGTACAAATATCTAATGGGAGAAATCAGGTTAATGGAGTCTTAGTGGTCATCAGGTACAAATATCTAATGGGAGAAATCAGGTTAATGAGGTCTTAGTGGTCATCAGGTACAAATATCTAATGGGAGAAATCAGGTTAATGGAGTCGTCTGGGTGGGGGAATGGAGTTGTCTGACAATGCTCATTATTTCTTAAAATGGAAAATGTGGATTTCTGGCCAACATACCTCCCTGGCCAACAAGTGGTCAATGGATCTTGGTCTAGCCGGAGCACATAGTGCAGATCTGTGGATGCTGTGTTGCTGAGTTCAGCTGAGGTCACAGCACAGTGCACACTGACATCAGCATCAATGGGATTCAGGTCAAAGCTGTCCACTGGGTTGCTGTCTTGTTCATCCAAGTACAGGCTCAGCCAGGTGCCTTCCAGGATGCAGTAGCGATTTTCCCAGCCTGACTTGCCAACTCTGGAAGTAATGAGCCAGCCATCAACATGTGCCAGCAAGATATAAGGAGCACCCAAACAATTGACAGTATTTTTCAGATTTTTTAGAGAAAAGTAAGATTAAAGAGAAACATTTCAGTTTCACACTTATAATAGTCCTTCAAATCAATTTGCCTGTACTTTTTTGCAATCATCATACTTGAAAAATTTTTTTTTAACCCTTTACAGGCCTATGCCTCCACTGTCACCAGAGAATTTGTGTGTGTGTTACAGTCAGGTGCGCCCTGTATGGTCCATTTTATACAATTTTTCTTAAGATTAGAATTTTTTTCTCAAAATTACGGGCAATATAATTAATTAAATTTAATCTAATTAAAATGCCTCTGCCATTGAATCTGGCTTTATTTTTAATGTAAACATCGAAAAAAGAAAGAAAATGTAGTGATTACATTAAATTTTTTTTAGCATTTTAAATAACAGTTTTGTAGAAATAATATCAGAAGTAGTGTTTGTTTATGTTTTTCTGGGATAAGTGTTAATTTTATTATTTATAAGTAAATTATTACGCTGTGTAACCTCATGCACTAGGATTAGTCTTTTACAGACATGCCTGTCCCTGTCAGTCAAAAGTAGGAACAGTCATGCCAAAAAAGAGGAATTTGTAGCAAAAAAGAGGAACATATGCACGGACGCAACTTTACTAAGTAAAAAATAAAAATAATTAATTAAAAATTACTCTAATGACATTAATAGGCTTCTAGTCATATATAACTAGTCTCTAGGCCACATTTAAATACTGCTTAATGTCAGCTTACATTTTTTAAAAAGTTAACCAGTAACCTGAGACCCCCCCCCTCCAATAAAAACCATAGCTTTGACATAACATTATTGATTTGATTATTTATGCATATACTAAATTCTAGGCTATATGAATAACAAATGCTGACGGCTTCATCATATGAAATAAATAAGTTAAGAGCAAAGACCCTTGATCTACCTAGTAAAGGTCCTAGTTGCTTCTTACTGAGTTCTTCATAACAGTAGTTACTGGTTAAGTTAAACTTACAAGATAGATCAGTATTCACTATTTCAGTATCTACTAGTAGATCTAGTTACAATTCTAGATCTAGTAGTAGTAGATATACTACTAGCTAGATCTAGTATTAGATAATACTTGTAAATATTGTAAGTAAACTAGGAAACATAAACGTGTGCATAAGGGAGATAATCGCTTTTTCCTGACATTTTTTTCAATTCACTTTATTACCTCTTTTTATTAATCATTTTTTTCAAAAAAATCTGAACAAACTGAGTCAAAATCGGGATGAACAAATTACTTTTTTAAAGTGAAAAAGCGGGACGGTTCCGATTTTGGCGGGATGGTAGGCAAGTCTGCTTTTGTATATTGCTTTTTAGTTTATTTTTTTAACGTAAGTGGTTATTATTTAAAAATTAATTTTAAAAAGTGCTGGGGTTGAAAAATGCAGTCTTTTTGCCTGGCTGTAGGGCAGGGGTTCCCAACCTTTTTTTACTCTAGAGCAGGGGTCAGCAACCTGCGGCTCGCGAGCCGCATGCGGTTCTTTTGATATCAAGATGCGGCTCTCCAGCTCCTTGCACAAATACTAATAATCTTAATATAAAATAAAATATTTGTAATAAAAAAATGTTAGTGGCTCTTTAAAACCAGGGAAATTTTGAAAATTGTAACTTTTGGCTCTACCGCTTCAAAAGGTTGCCGACCCCTGCTCTAGAGCACATTCTAAAATATCGGTAGGGTGGCGGGCACCACCTATTTTAAATCGACAAACTCCTTCCATAACTTGTCATTTTCCCATAATTTATTTTCTTATTTTCTTATAGTCATAATGTATTAATAAATAATAAACAAAAATGTTTCAAAGTAATAAAATTATTTGGCATTATTTTCAAATTGCATACACACAGAGAAATGTATTTACAAAACGTAAAGAAAGTAAACAAAACACATAACTACAAAGAAAACATTTAATTAAAAAATATAATTAAGTCAGTGTGATCTTTGGCATTGCATTTTATTGGCCAGAGTTTCATAATTAGGAGCGTATGACGATAATCCTGTTAGCAGACAATCATAAAGATGCTCATCGGTGAGTCGAGATCTAGATTATCCTTATCTTGATTTTATAAAGTTCATGTTTGAAAACAATGATTCACATAAATATGTTGAACCGAAAAATGATTCAATTTTATATGGGAACTTTTCTCTATCCACTGTATTCCAAAAGTCCTCTGACATTAAGGATTTGAGCAAACTATCATTCTGTCGAATAGTGAGAGGCGGGCACATACGAATCGTTCAGCGGGCGCCATGGCGCCCGCGGGCACAGGGTTGGGAACCCCTGCTATAGGGGAAGTAAATAGTTTTGGAGCTTAGGCGGGTGTTAATAGCCAAAGCACATTCACACAGTCACTTAAGTTTATTTGTTGTTGATGGCACTCCGTGATCTATCATGCAATCCTGATGGCAAGGACTATTTTGGACTAATAAATTAGCCTATTTGTTGTAGAAAATAGACATGGAAAAGTTTTTTTCTAAATTTTAAGTCCAGACATTTTTAAACTTGCCAGGCAATCCAGGCAAAAGGTTGAATTTTTCTTTTAAGAAGTCTGCAGAAAAATAAAATTTCTGCAAAAAACTGGAAAAGTGCCATGACTGCTATGTATGAACTATGTTCTGCTCACCTGGGAACCTTTAACCATCCTTCCATTTTGACAGCAGATCTATCAATATCCGTCTCTCTCCCTGTTTCATCTCTGTAGATCTGTCTCATCATCAGTTCAAAATGTCGGACATACTCAGTAGGGAGGCCACAGGTGGAGGGAACAGAGGAGGAACATTTGGGATGAACAACCATACCACATTCTAGAGGAAGACAAAAGTTACAATATACCTTGGGCACAAAAATATCTTGGGCACAAGTAAAAGTTGTAATGTAAAAATATCTTGGGCACAAGTACAAGTTACAATGTAAAAATATCTTGGGCACAAGTAGAAGTTACAATGTAAAAATATTTTGGGCACAAGTAGAAGTTACAATGTAAAAATATCTTGGGCACAAGTAGAAGTTACAATGTAAAAATATCTTGGGCACAAGTAAAAGTTGTAATATAAAAATACCTTGGGCACAAGTAGAAGTTACAATGTAAAAATATTTTGGGCACAAGTAGAAGTTACAATGTAAAAATATCTTGTGCACAAGTAGAAGTTACAATGTAAAAATATCTTGGGCACAAGTAGAAGTTACAATGTAAAAATATCTTGGGCACAAGTAGAAGTTACAATGTAAAAATATTTTGGGCACAAGTAAAAGTTGTAATGTAAAAATACATTGGGCACAAGTAAAAGTTGTAATGTAAAAATATTTTGGACACAAGTAAAAGTTGTAATCTAAAAATACCTTGGGCACAAAAGTTGTAATGTAAACATACCTTGGGCACAAGTAAAAGTTGTAATGTAAACATACCTTGGGCACAAGTAAAAGTTGTAATGTAAACATACCTTGGGCACAAGTAAAAGTTGTAAACATACCTTGGCACTTGGAGGCCTGCCTGACAAAGTGTACAGTTCCCAGACAGAGACCACATTTGGCTGCTCTTGTATTGAGCCCTGTAGCAAATCTAAATCAAGTACATCAACATTTAGTCAAACAGAGAGAGGGTAACTTGCTACATGACAGTATTATAACAGAGGGTAACTTGTTACATGACAGTATTATAACAGAGGGTAACTTGCTACATGACAGTATTATAACAGAGGGTAACTTGCTACATGACAGTATTATAACAGAGGGTAACTTGCTACATGACAGTATTATAACAGAGGGTAACTTGCTACATGACAGTATTATAACAGAGGGTAACTTGTTACATGACAGTATTATAACAGAGGGTAACTTGCTACATGACAGTATTATAACAGAGGGTAACTTGCTACATGACAGTATTATAACAGAGGGTAACTTGCTACATGACAGTATTATAACAGAGGGTAACTTGCTACATGACAGTATTATAACAGAGGGTAATTTGCTACATGACAGTATTATAACAGAGGGTAACTTGCTACATGACAGTATTATAACAGAGGGTAACTTGTTACATGACAGTATTATAACAGAGGGTAATTTGCTACATGACAGTATTATAACAGAGGGTATACCCTGACAGAATTATAACAGAGGGTAACTTGTTACATGACAGTATTATAACAGAGGGTAACTTGTTACATGACAGTATTATAACAGAGGGTAACTTGCTACATGACAGTATTATAACAGGGTAACTTGTTACATGACAGTATTATAACAGAGGGTAACTTGTTACATGACAGTATTATAACAGAGGGTAACTTGTTACATGACAGTATTATAACAGAGGGTAACTTGTTACATGACAGTATTATAACAGAGGGTAACTTGTTACATGACAGTATTATAACAGAGGGTAACTTGTTACATGACAGTATTATAACAGAGGGTAACTTGTTACATGACAGTATTATAACAGAGGGTAACTTGCTACATGACAGTATTATAACAGAGGGTAACTTGTTACATGACAGTATTATAACAGAGGGTAACTTGCTACATGACAGTATTATAACAGAGGGTAACTTGTTACATGACAGTATTATAACAGAGGGTAACTTGCTACATGACAGTATTATAACAGAGGGTAACTTGCTACATAACAGTATTATAACAGAGGGTAACTTGTTACATGACAGTATTATAACAGAGGGTAACTTGCTACATGACAGTATTATAACAGAGGTTAACTTGCTACATGACAGTATTATAACAGAGGGTAACTTGTTACATGACAGTATTATAACAGAGGGTAACTTGCTATATGACAGTATTATAACAGAGGTTAACTTGCTACATGACAGTATTATAACAGAGGGTAACTTGTTACATGACAGTATTATAACAGAGGGTAACTTGTTACATGACAGTATTATAACAGAGGGTATACCCTGACAGAATTATAACAGAGGGTAACTTGTTACATGACAGTATTATAACAGAGGGTAATTTGCTACATGACAGTATTATAACAGAGGGTAACTTGTTACATGATACTATTATAACAGCTGGGTAGAGTATAAATGATGTGTACCTGTGCGGTATATTGTGGTGCATGCGCTGTGGTATGTGATCTGCCTGTCTAGTACCATCAAACAGATAGCCTCTCTGAGATCTAGGGGTGTGATGAGGGGAGGACCTGGAGGAACTAGAGGAGGCTGAGGCCAAGGACGTTGAAGAGTTTCTGCCAGCCACTTCTGCTGAGTGAGTGGCCCCAGGGTTGGTCAGTGCATTGAGAGCAGATCTGGTCAGTCGAACCTCCACATTAGCTTCAACTTGACCTCTCTGCTTTAGCTTTAATACTGAAACACAGAAAGGACCCATCAGTTAGATGAAGGGGCCTATCAACATTTCAGGTCAGTTCGTTCATGGGAACTATCAATATTTCAGATCAGTTAGTTCAGTTATAGATCAGCAAGCCAATGGGACATGTCAGTTAAAGATCAGTTAGTATAAAGACCTATTATGTTAAATAGACAATAGCAATACAGGTTATGAAAAAACAAATTTTGTTCTTAATATTTTGGAAAATTTTCCAAGGTCAAGATGTAATTCTTTCAAATGTCTAATGTTTAACTTTAGAAATATAGAGTTTCATGTTTAGCCACAAGTATAATCAATCAATTTAATACTTAAATGAATATGTTTGTAATATAGCCAGTCTAAATTCCATTGAGGGCCTGAGCTAGCCAGTCATTTGTACCAAGAAAGACCAAAGAATCAAATCTTTTGGCGACATAAAACCATACCACTGATCATTTGTTATTTATATAAATGTTATAACAATTGTATACTGTACCTATGATTTCAACACATTTCAGTTCAATAATAATGAGGTTGGGATAAAATAACAATGATAAATATGTGATCAGTTGAGGTTATCAGCTATAGCGCTGGTGTGTGGGCCAACTGTAGCACTGGTGTGTGGGCCAGCTATAGCGCTGGTGTGTGGGCCAGCCATAGCGCTGGTCTGTGGGCCAGCTATAGCGCTGGTCTGTGGGCCAGCTATAGCGCTGGTGTGTGGGCCAACTGTAGCGGTGGTGTGTGGGCCAGCTATAGCGCTGGTGTGTGGGCCAGCTATAGCGCTGGTGTGTGGGCCAACTATAGCGCTGGTCTGTGGGCCAACTATAGCGCTGGTGTGTGGGCCAGCTATAGCGCTGGTGTGTGGGCCAACTATAGCGCTGGTGTGTGGGCCAGCTATAGCGCTGGTGTGTGGGCCAACTATAGCGCTGGTGTGTGGGCCAACTATAGCGCTGGTCTGTGGGCCAACTATAGCGCTGGTGTGTGGGCCAGCTATAGCGCTGGTGTGTGGGCCAACTATAGCGCTGGTGTGTGGGCCAGCTATAGCGCTGGTGTGTGGGCCAACTGTAGCGGTGGTGTGTGGGCCAGCTATAGCGCTGGTGTGTGGGCCAGCCATAGCGCTGGTCTGTGGGCCAGCTATAGCGCTGGTGTGTGGGCCAACTGTAGCGGTGGTGTGTGGGCCAGCCATAGCGCTGGTGTGTGGGCCAGCTATAGCGCTGGTGTGTGGGCCAGCTATAGTGCTGGTGTGTGGGCCAGCTATAGCGCTGGTGTGTGGGCCAGCCATAGGGCTGGTGTGTGGGCCAGCTATAGCGCTGGTGTGGGCCAGCTATAGCGCTGGTGTGTGGGCCAGCTATAGCGCTGGTGTGTGGCCAGCTATAGCGCTGGTGTGTGGGCCAGCTATAGCTAGCACTATGTTAGTCTGTAAGTTCTGAGGTTATCTTATCTAAGCTTTTTTAAATAAAATCTATCAGACAAAGACATTACAATGTAGTGCACATCAACTGTTGCTAGAGGTACTCTTATATCCAATCATTTTGAACCTCCAATCATTATGAACCTCCAATCACACTGTTTTTTGTATTTTGTTATTGAGGTGTTTTCAAACATTTTGTGTATGTGTTTATGTATCAATGTATTGTGGATGTATGACAATCAATGCTGTACAGACACACTTGACATTATGTACATACATGGAGGGAATTTCATTTTAAATCTGGATAAGCCATTGCACCAAATATTTGAGCAGAAATTCATTTATAATGGTCAAATAAATTAAACTAAAAGAAAATACAACCAAAAGTGTCAAAGTAAACAAACTAGAAACAAACTAACAACTTTAATTAAAACATGTTTATATTAAGGGGTTATCCATTTACGACGTCTGCAAAAAAAACTTTAGACGACCCCCCCCCCCCCCCAAACAGGTTGCAAAATTACTAATTTATTTACATGCAATGTGTACATTAACTGATAATGTAATATAGGGATTTGATATTTTCTGTAAGAGCCTAAATAATAAGATGTCCGTAAGTCTACAGCATGTAAAATTACTAAAATTGTTCTTTATTGAAAGAGTGATCGCGCATGGATGCTGTGTACCCTGCCTCTCTATTTTAAAGGTTTTTTAATCCACTATTTGTTATAAAGAGTCAGAAATTGCAGGCAGTCATGCATCTTTTTTTAATTGAAGATGCTATAGACCAAACTTTTTACTGTCATTTGTTGCTGTCGAGCTATCAATGGCTATATGGGTTCGGGTAAATTCGGCTAATCAACGTGACTACATTATATTACTTTTACTCAACTTTACGCTGTGTGGGTTTTCATAACATACCACCTCTCCCCCTTTTTTGTGGAAGCGCTAGTCATTAGCCCTATACACCTGACCAAGCGAGCACATTATACACGCGCTGATATTTAAATATCTAATTGTAACGTGGTTACTTAGAGTTTTTTACTTGAAAAAAAAAAATTACTAGATCTACATCATTTTAGGCTTTGTCACAAAATAATGATGTAGGCCTATTATGATTTAGTTACAATTGTTTGAAATGTTTAAAAATAAAGCTGAAATACCATAAATTGCTTTAGAAAATTGCGGTCACTGCCCTATCCCCTCCCACTTGAAAAAAAAAAAAAAAAAGCTTTTTCTTAGGCAGGCAGTTTTCAGCTAAGGCTTCATTTCTGATACATTTACCATTTTTAATGTTGAAGTTTATATGCATTTTTAAAATTTAATTTTTAAACTAATCAAATTGACCCAAACACCCCCCCCCCCCCTGTGGACGTCATAAATGGATGCCCCCAATAGCTGTATATGTAACAAGGTCAGATTTACCTTTCTTAATTTGATGAAACCACCCATCTAAAATGTTGAATTCAAGAGTGAGTCATTGAAGAGAAATAATGACATTACACTTTCAAACCAACTTAGATCTAAATGTCTGAGATTTTAAAATGTTACCCTTTCAAAGCAATTTGAATGTTTGAAAATGTTTACTTTCATTAGCTTGTTGAGCATTTTCCTGTCTCAGCTGATCAACTTGATCTTGTAGAAGGCTCTGTGTAGTCTGCAGGTCAGACAGGGGGAGAGAAGCCTGCTTGTTCAAAGCTTCCTTGCTCCCACTTTTGGAGCCAAAAAACTTGCTCTGAAAAATGACAACTCATTTAGACTAGAAAGTCTTCAAGACATTTTCCAGGACCATTTCATTCAAGTATTTTACACTTTTATAGCTAGTCTTCCACTAAACAGATTGTAATTGAAGATACTTTTAATCATTAATTAGTTAAAAATATGTAATTAAAAATTTAGGAAAAATATTTAAAAAAAGGATTAAGCAATGTCTAAAAAATGTTCTATAATTACTACAACAATTTATTGTACTAGTTTCAAAAGCCAATTGCTAATTAATTTAATTAAAAGCTATTTTAATAGGGCATCACAAAATGAATTTACAAATACATTTATTAAGCTATTTGAATTGGGCATGACTAATGAATTTAAAAATAGATTTTAAATATACATTCACTAAACAATTTGGGCATGACTAATGAATTTAAAAATAGATTTTAAATATACATTCACTAAACAATTTGGGCATGACTAATGAATTTAAAAATAGATTTTAAATATACATTCACTAAACAATTGACTAATGAATTTAAAATGTTGCATGCCCAGTATATCAGGCAACATGCTTTACAAATGTTAAAAAATGTGTTGTGTGCTGGCCTCATGCAACATGCTCCACACAACTCTTACAGCTAACAAACTAGTTAGCATTACAACTCTCACAGCTAACAAACTAGTTAGCATTACAACTCTTACATCACAGCTAACAAACTAGTTAGCAATACAACTCTTACATCACAGCTAACAAACTAGTTAGCATTACAACTCTTACATCACAGCTAACAAACTAGTTAGCATTACAACTCTTACATCACAGCTAACAAACTAGTTAGCAATACAACTCTTACATCACAGCTAACAAACTAGTTAGCATTACAACTCTTACATCACAGCTAACAAACTAGTTAGCATTCTAAAAAAATTATCTACAAACCTTCTTTTGGTTTTGTAAAATGAAAAAAAAACAACAAAAAAAAAAACAGAAATTGAAATGTAACAAACCATGTCAAAAATAAATAATCATGTAACCAATATTAGAAGCAACATAAAAATTATGACATTAAGTTAAATTATCAGTTTTTCTTTTTTTAGAGTTAAGAAAATAATTGTTTTTTAATATTGACCAGGATTTTCACAGCTAGCTGTCTCTTTTAGTTCACTTTTAAGATGGTATCATTTGTTTTAGAAAATGATAATACTGATCCATTTATATATTAGAATATCTTGTACAAATCCAAATCAATGGAGAGAGAAATCAAGGAGACACACCAAAGCTTAAACATCAAATTGCTGCTTCATTAATGACTCATTACATATTCTTTAGATCTCTGAGACCAACTAGAGATAATCCAAGCAACAAAACCTGTTGAGTGCAAATATCAAGCTAACACCCAAAGGGTTAAAGAAGCTCAAATAGTATTTACTTCTACACATAAGAAATGTTTACAAATCTAGCCCCTTCTAAAAGTAAGCTAAGATCTGTGAGGATGCACTACCTTCTTTTTCTTGCCAGAGTGCTCTAAGTGCAGCTCTTGTAGATAGTCTATCAGCTTCATCTGCTGGCCAATGGTGCTCTCAAACTTGTACTTGTCCAGGAAGTGAAGAGCCTGACAGTTGGAAATGTTAGTAGGGCCCCAGTCTAGCAGAACATAACTTTTACAGTAGGGCCCCAGTCTAGCAGAACATTACTTTTACAGTAGGGCCCCAGTCTAGCAGAACATTACTTTTACAGTAGGGCCCCAGTCTAGCAGAACATAACTTTTACAGTAGGGCCCCAGCCTAGCAGAATATTACTTTTACAGTAGGGCCCCAGTCTAGCAGAACATAACTTTTACAGTAGGGCCCCAGTCTAGCAGAACATTACTTTTACAGTAGGGCCCCAGTCTAGCAGAACATTACTTTTACAGTAGGGCCCCAGTCTAGCAGAACATTACTTTTACATTAGGGCCCCAGTCTAGCAGAACATTACTTTTACAGTAGGGCCCCAGTCTAGCAGAACATTACTTTTACAGTAGGGCCCCAGTCTGGTAGAACATTACTTTTACAGTAGGGCCGGAAGTACATTACTTTTACAGTCATGGCACAAAGTATAAAATAGGGTTTCATTTTAAACTTTTTAAAACACACTATTTTAACAGACCACAGTCTGTATTTTTACAGGGTTCGTACTACTTTTTGAAAATGAAATTCCGGGGGAAAAATTGGAGTAAATTCACTTTAAAAAAGCAATTTTTTAAGTTGGAAAATATGAACTTCGAAGGTTTATTTCTAAAACTGGATTCCAGACTTTTTCCAGACTTTAAAAAAATCCAGCCCAAAAACTAGCGATTTTCCAGACTTTAAGTCTGCAATTCACTTATCTAAATTCAAGACTTTTTCCAGTCTGCGTACAACCCCGTCTTTAGTTATATTCTAGGGAAAAATAGTGCACACATCCATACAAATTTGACCAAACCAAAATTTTTACTAAATAATAATGTAAATAACAATACATTATTCTAATGTAAGCATTTTGTTAAATTTTGTTTGAACACAATGTTTTTCACTTAAAAAATTCAATATAACTAACTTAGTTAAATAGTGTAGATCAATTTTGTCTATGCACAGTATGTTTTTCACTAAAAAAAATTCAAAATAATCAGCTGTTAAATTACGTAGATCAATTGTGTCTATGCACAATATTTTGTCACTAACACAATACAAAATAATTAGCTGTTAAATAATGTAGATCAATTGGGTGTATGGACAATGTTTTTCACTAAAACAATTGAAAATAATCATCTATTCAATGGACACCAGCGAGAAAAGTCTCAAAGGTATTTGAGAGGTGTATAAATTCTTTTAAAAATCATGCACAGCGTAGTTACAATTAATATGGTTATAAAATCCTGCCTGTCTGGTTTTTTTCGGACTTTACTAAAGATTGGATGTATTTGATGTTTATAATATTTTCGGTAACTAAATAAAAATTTAAAAAAAAGCAAAAACAATTTGGTTTTCACGTGTAATGGCGACATAAACAATGGCATCCTGCTATTGGATAGGCAGACACAAATTTTATTGTACACATTGTAAGCTAAAAATAGAAAACTAAGTCATGGGGTTTTAAATTTGCATTGTTATTTAAAAACTTGATCTGCAAAGTTTTGTAAACAAATAGTTATCGATCACTAAGTTACTGTACAGCCAATCAATATTTGTCTTACGAAAGTGAAACATCCGGTTATAACTTAGGCTTGATGAAAATAAATAGAAATGTAGCCTTAAACTCAACAAATTATTTTCAAGTTCTCTGGATTTACAACTTTTATAGCATTTATTCTAAAAATATAAAATTTCTAAATTAATTTTAGGCTTAAGTTTTTTTTTTTAAATTTTTTTTTACGGTCTAAATCTAAAAAGCACGTTTTTATTCCATGTCAACAATACTAACTAATACTATGGAAGGAATCTCGTCAACTCGCTTGTCTCCATTGGGTGATTAAGTTGACACAGCATAGAACTAACCAACAAGCCATGTGTGGATTGCTTCTATTTGTTTACAGTAGACAACAATCAACAAACTCACCTGCAAGGCTTCAGTAAAATTCTCCAAGCTAACTTTTTCTCCAATTATCATTTCAAATTTGTCCATGGCCTCATCCAAATGTTTCCTCAATTTCAAGTTTTCCTTTCTTAGTGAACAATTTTCACTCAGTGCTTGTGTCAACTAAATGGAGAAATTATTCTGTCAGTCTGTGCTTAAATTCAACCTTTAATCTATTCAACATTGATTTGTACAAGAAGTAAACTAGTTTTAGTTCTTGTTACCAACTATTGGATCAACCAGAATAACTGAAAACAGATTTCATTTTTGAAAATACTAAACACTTTAGTCAGATAGTGACCAGAACATAATTTGTGCTTTTAAAACATTTGCTAGTCAACTTTGCTAGCACAGAATTTTCCTCACAAGAACTTGCTTTAGCTGACATTAACCTATAAATCAGTGACTTGCTACAAGCTGGGATGGGTTAGCCTAGTCCTCATACCCACATTCTCAAAGGATTTCAAAACAATTTTTGGGAGTTTCCAAAATAAAATGAGAAGCAGCTAGAGATGGTTGGTGGAGTAATGTAATTAAATTAATTAGGTCCATGTTTTGTTAATGGTAGATGGTGTAATGTAATTAAATTAATTAGGTCCATGTTTTGTTAATGGTAGATGGAGTAATGTAATTAAATTGATTAAGTCCATGTTTTGTTAATGGTAGATGGAGTAATGTAATTAAATTGATTAAGTCCATGTTTTGTTAATGGTTCATGGAGTAATGTAATTAAATTAATTAGGTCCATGTTTTGTTAATGGTAGATGGTGTAATGTAATTAAATTGATTAGGTCCATGTTTTGTTAATGGTTGATGGAGTAATGTAATTACATTTATTAGGTCCATGTTTTGTTAATGGTAGATGGAGTAATGTAATTAAATTGATTAGGTCCATGTTTTGTTAATGGTAGATGGCGTAATGTAATTAAATTGATTAGGTCCATGTTTTGTTAATGGTAGATGGTGTAATGTAATTAAATTGATTAGGTCCATGTTTTGTTAATGGTAGATGGAGTAATGTAATTAAATTGATTAGGTCCATGTTTTGTTAATGGTAGATGGAGTAATGTAATTAAATTTATTAGGTCCATGTTTTGTTAATGGTTGATGGAGTAATGTAATTAAATTGATTAGGTCCATGTTTTGTTTGTCACTGCCTGTGTTGTCAGCTGTTGACCTTCTAGCTTTAATACCAGTAGAGAATGATGGGTGAAAACATGAATGGAGCCACCTTACTCCAATGTTTAATACCAGTAGAGAATGATGGGTGAAAATGTGAATGGAGCCACCCTACTCCAATGTTTAATACCAGTAGAGAATGATGGGTGAAAATGTGAATGGAGCCACCTTACTCCAATGTTTAATACCAGTAGAGAATGATGGGTGAAAATGTGAATGGAGCCACCCTACTCGAATGTTTGGTAGAACCCAAGTTAGTCATTAGTAGTTTTTATAGAGGATTTTACTAGATGCTTTTATTTTCTTCTTTTTACTTAATCGTATAAAAGAGTATAAAGGAAGTATTGTACTAATGTAAGTAAATTGAAAGTAATAAATCTCAATATATTCCTGAAAGTGAGCAAAATAACTTGAGCACTGTTTCAGTTAGGTGGAAGACATTTCAAATAGAAGATCTTAGAAGTAGGTTGCTCTCAACTTTTGCGCAATTTCTAGTCACCAAAAACAGAACTTGCTTTCAGATCACTTAAAAACATTTAGAATTTGAGTTTTATATCATATCATAAAATTAACCGGGAGTGATTTCCCCTAAACTTTTTTCGAATATTCTTATATAACTTGAAATATAGACATTATTTTTAATTACTTTAACTTTTTAAAATAGAATAGAATCTCATAGAAAAAAGAATTGCGCACCAAGCGAACGCCAAAACAAAATGTGCATAATGGTGCGCAATATTATTAGTACTTTATAAGTTTACATGCTTTTTTTGAGAAATCGAAAATAGCGTAAATTAGTAATTCCGGTCAACGGAAATTACTCAAAATTTGACAGAAGGCAGAGAATTAGATCTTTTACTTACATGTGAAATTTCATTTATCTATCTGAAATAGTACTCAAGTTATAGGCTTTTGAAAAATTCAAAGTAGAAAAAGTACCACTTCCGGTTATCGGAAATAGCTCAAAAGTTGATACAGATCTACGATTTTGATAAAATACTTATATATGAAATTTCATCAACCTAGCTGTAACGGTACTCAAGTTATCGTGTTTACACACAGACAGATAGACACACAGACACACGGACAAGATTGCAAAATTTAGTTTTTCTGTATCAGTGAGGTGTAAAACGTCGAGATTTGTAAAAATCTTGATTTTTTTTTTGCACGATTACAAGACTTTCTCTATACGAGAAAGTAAAAACATATTCAAAAACATTTCGCCTATGTTTTCTTATAAAAAGAGTAGTTTCTATATCACAATTTGAAGTGCCATACCTCTTCTTACTGTTATATTAAATTATACAAGAAAGTATAGTGGAGCTCATTCCTGCTTTATCTTTAATATGGTAAATGAGAATTTTTTCTGATAAGGAATAAATGAGAAATAGCAAGCTAAAACTGATATCCTTAGCATGAGTGGGAGATTGTGTTGACATGTGATGCATGGCATTTCATTAGCTTTATTCACATTTAGACCTACAATTAAAAACTGTTCAGGTCTCATCATCTATTTAAAAGCTGCAGTATAAAGTGTGTCAAACAAAAACTGGAGGCTATTCTACAGGCAGCCTGGTTGAGCCCAATATTGCTACAGATAAGGATGAGGGTTGAATCATCCCTACAGGTCTGTACTTTGCTATCAAAGGTTAAAAGAAGATCCACTGTGCTACACTTAGATCCCTACTAGGATTTGAGAAAACTATGCCCAATAAACTCTTCAAAAAGTGATGCAAACCTCTTCTTTCAGTGTCATTTTTTCTTGGTTGCTTTTCTCCATCTCTTTCATTTGGCTCTCAAACAGTTGCAGTGCTGATTTTTCTTTCTGTTCTGACTCTTCAAGCTTTCAAATAAAATAAAAAATAGTAGAATAACTGATGTTTGTTGAAGAAAAGCAAGCTAAAGTCTGGAGCATCCTTACCTTGTGTGAGAGCTTACAGACTTGAGCTCTTTCTTCTCTCAGGTTGTGATGTAACTTCTCCAGGTCAGCTCTGTGTAAGGCTCTCACAGATTCTATCTGCTGCTTCACTTGCCCTTCAGTTTCAGATCTGAGGAAAAAAGCTCACATTAGCTCACTACTCACATTCAAATGCTTTTTTATCAATGGTCAAATTAAGGTAAAGGTGCCAAGAGTCATCAGAGAAATCCAATGGGGTTATACTAACATTTACAGGAACCTTTGCTACTCTCTAGCCAGCAGCTAAGGGACTGTATTGCCAGTACCATGGTTCCCACAATATTTTCACCAGAAAATTCCCTACTATTTCAAGTATCTATTCCAAGCTATTCAAAATAATTGCCGGCTATTATGAAAATTTCCCAGCTATTCATAGGATTTTCCGGCAGAGAAATTTTATCTTAAAATTCCTGTTTTTTCCCCGGTTTCACATCTCTGTGGAAATCCTTAAGTACATGGGGCACCAGGACATGGGGCAGCTAAGGGACTGTGGCACCAGTACATGGGGCAGCTAAGGGACTGTGGCACCAGTACATGGGGCAGCTAAGGGACTGTGGCACCAGGACATGGGGCAGCTAAGGGACTGTGGCACCAGTACATGGGGCAGCTAAGGGACTGTGGCACCAGTACATGGGGCAGCTAAGGGACTGTGGCACCAGTACATGGGGCAGCTAAGGGACTGTGGCACCAGTACATGGGGCAGCTAAGGGACTGTGGCACCAGGACATTGGGCAGCTAAGGGACTGTGGCACCAGGACATGGGGCAGCTAAGGGACTGTGGCACCAGGACATTGGGCAGCTAAGGGACTGTGGCACCAGTACATGGGGCAGCTAAGGGATTGTGGCACCAGTACATGGGGCAGCTAAGGGACTGTGGCACCAGTACATGGGGCAGCTAAGGGACTGTGGCACCAGTACATGGGGCAGCTAAGGGACTGTGGCACCAGTACATGGGGCAGCTAAGGGACTGTGGCACCAGGACATGGGGCAGCTAAGGGACTGTGGCACCAGTACATGGGGCAGCTAAGGGACTGTGGCACCAGTACATGGGGCAGCTAAGGGACTGTGGCACCAGTACATGGGGCAGCTAAGGGACTGTGGCACCAGTACATGGGGCAGCTAAGGGACTGTGGCACCAGGACATTGGGCAGCTAAGGGACTGTGGCACCAGGACATGGGGCAGCTAAGGGACTGTGGCACCAGGACATTGGGCAGCTAAGGGACTGTGGCACCAGTACATGGGGCAGCTAAGGGATTGTGGCACCAGTACATGGGGCAGCTAAGGGACTGTGGCACCAGTACATGGGGCAGCTAAGGGACTGTGGCACCAGTACATGGGGCAGCTAAGGGACTGTGGCACCAGGACATGGGGCAGCTAAGGGACTGTGGCACCAGGACATGGGGCAGCTAAGGGACTGTGGCACCAGTACATGGGACAGCTAAGGGACTGTGGCACCAGGACATGGGGCATAATTGATTAAAATAGGTGAGAGAGAGGAAGAATTGGTTAAAATAGGGGAGAGAGAGGAAGAAAAGGTTAAAATAGGGGAGAGAGGAAGAAAAGGTTAAAATAGGGGAGAGAGAGGAAGAAAAGGTTAAAATAGGGGAGAGAGAGGAAGAAAAGGTTAAAATAGGGGAGAGAGGAAGAATTGGCTAAAATAGGGGAGAGAGAGGAAGAAAAGGTTAAAATAGGGGAGAGAGAGGAAGAATTTGTTAAAATAGGGGAGAGAGAGGAAGAAAAGGTTAAAATAGGGGAGAGAGAGGAAGAAAAGGTTAAAATAGGGGAGAGAGGAAGAATTGGTTAAAATAGGGGAGAGAGAGGAAGAAAAGGTTAAAATAGGGGAGAGAGAGGAAGAATTTGTTAAAATAGGGGAGAGAGAGGAAGAATTGGTTAAAATAGGGGAGAGAGAGGAAGAAAAGGTTAAAATAGGGGAGAGAGAGGAAGAAAAGGTTAAAATAGGGGAGAGAGAGGAAGAATTTGTTAAAATAGGGGAGAGAGAGGAAGAAAAGTTAAAATAGGGGAGAGAGAGGAAGAAAAGGTTAAAATAGGGGAGAGAGAGGAAGAATTTGTTAAAATCGGAGAGGGTGTTAGAGGAAGGTTCAATAGGCCAGCAAAAGATTACCTGGCAGCTTGCACTTGTTGGGTCACCAGTTCATGTTCTCTAGCATTTACTGCTTGCTCATATGTCAATCTGCATCAAAGTTTAACACTTTAAGCAAACTCATTTCAATTTTAAGTGATTTTCTTACCAAATCAAACCAATACTTCAACCAAAAAAGTAATATCATTATAACATACATCTCTAAAGAATGTCCACAGTATTTGGCTTCTCACCTCCAACAAAACAGTCAACATTACAAGCATTTGCACATTTTTATCTAGTTAATCGGATGGTTTTTTTAAATTTTGTTTTCTTTAAATTGTAGCCAAAATGACATGGAATTTATTATCATGTCATAAACATAAGCTACAGCTAAGGGTTAACAAGCAGGTTCTTGAGTTTGTTGTTTAACTGTAGCTGCCTTCAGAAAACAAAATGTTCAGTAATATAAGTGGGTCAATCCAGTATTAGGGAGGGGGTGGGTAGAAAATTGTTGGGTCAATTAGGGAGGAGGTGGGTAGAAAATTGTTGGGTCAATTAGGGAGGGGGTGGGTAGAAAATTGTTGGGTCAATTAGGGAGGGGGTGGGTAGAAAATTGTTGGGTCAATTAGGGAGGGGGTGGGTAGAAAATTGTTGGGTCAATTAGGGAGGAGGTGGGTAGAAAATTGTTGGGTCAATTAGGGAGGGGGTGGGTAGAAAATTGTTGGGTCAATTAGGGAGGGGGTGGGTAGAAAATTGTTGGGTCAATTAGGGAGGGGGTGGGTAGAAAATTGTTGGGTCAATTAGGGAGGGGGTGGGTAGAAAATTGTTGGGTCAATTAGGGAGGGGGTGGGTAGAAAATTGTTGGGTCAATTAGGGAGGGGGTGGGTAGAAAATTGTTGGGTCAATTAGGGAGGAGGTGGGTAGAAAATTGTTGGGTCAATTAGGGAGGGGGTGGGTAGAAAATTGTTGGGTCAATTAGGGAGGGGGTGGGTAGAAAATTGTTGGGTCAATTAGGGAGGGGGTGGGTAGAAAATTGTTGGGTCAATTAGGGAGGGGGTGGGTAGAAAATTGTTGGGTCAATTAGGGAGGGGTTGGTAGAAAATTGTTGGGTCAATTAGGGAGGGGGTGGGTAGAAAATTGTTGGGTCAATTAGGGAGGGGGTGGGTAGAAAATTGTTGGGTCAATTAGGGAGGGGGTGGGTAGAAAATTGTTGGATCAATTAGGGAGGGGGTGGGTAGAAAATTGTTGGGTCAATTAGGGAGGGGTTGGTAGAAAATTGTTGGATCAATTAGGGAGGGGGTGGGTAGAAAATTGTTGGGTCAATTAGGGAGGGGGTGGGTAGAAAATTGTTGGGTCAATTAGGGAGGGGGTGGGTAGAAAATTGTTGGGTCAATTAGGGAGGGGGTGGGTAGAAAATTGTTGGGTCAATTAGGGAGGGGGTGGGTAGAAAATTGTTGGGTCAATTAGGGAGGAGGTGGGTAGAAAATTGTTGGGTCAATTAGGGAGGGGGTGGGTAGAAAATTGTTGGGTCAATTAGGGAGGGGGTGGGTAGAAAATTGTTGGGTCAATTAGGGAGGGGGTGGGTAGAAAATTGTTGGGTCAATTAGGGAGGGGGTGGGTAGAAAATTGTTGGGTCAATTAGGGAGGGGGTGGGTAGAAAATTGTTGGGTCAATTAGGGAGGAGGTGGGTAGAAAATTGTTGGGTCAATTAGGGAGGGGGTGGGTAGAAAATTGTTGGGTCAATTAGGGAGGGGGTGGGTAGAAAATTGTTGGGTCAATTAGGGAGGAGGTGGGTAGAAAATTGTTGGGTCAATTAGGGAGGGGGTGGGTAGAAAATTGTTGGGTCAATTAGGGAGGGGGTGGGTAGAAAATTGTTGGGTCAATTAGGGAGGGGGTGGGTAGAAAATTGCACTACTAGGTTTCCCTGTTTCTAAAGCTTAAACTTACTTGATGTTGTCCCACTGGATTTCTCTCTCTTTAAATTCTTGAATGATAACTTCCATGTCTTTAATTTGATCTTCCAATTCAGTACAAACTTTGGCCAACTGCTCAGCTTTCTGTACAAGATTGAAAAATATAAAACCTTTTTATAGACTGTTCTATCTCAACAGAACCTGTGTAAGCCAACAGTAAACCCATCACCTCATGTAAGCCAACAGTAAACCCATCACCCCATGTAAGCCAACAGTAAACCCATCACCCCATGTAAGCAAACAGTAAACCCATCACCCCATGTAAGCAAACAGTAAACCCATCACCCCATGTAAGCAAACAGTAAACCCATCACCCCATGTAAGCAAACAGTAAACCCATCACCCCATGTAAGCCAACAGTAAACCCATCACCCCATGTAAGCAAACAGTAAACCCATCACCCCATGTAAGCAAACAGTAAACCCATCACCCCATGTAAGCAAACAGTAAACCCATCACCCCATGTAAGCCAACAGTAAACCCATCACCCCATGTAAGCCAACAGTAAACCCATCACCAAATGTAAGCCAACAGTAAACCCATCACCCCATGTAAGCCAACAGTAAACCCATCACCAAATGTAAGCCAACAGTAAACCCATCACCCCATGTAAGCCAACAGTAAACCCATCACCTCATGTAAGCCAACAGTAAACCCATCACCCCATGTAAGCCAACAGTAAACCCATCACCCCATGTAAGCAAACAGTAAACTAACCTTATACTCCATCTGATACTGCTGCTGCTTGTTCTGTACCTCTTCCATTAAACGGACAGTCTCACCTGTATTTGAACCCCTCTCTTTTTGCAGTGCTGAATACTTGCCTTCTAAAACCTGAATATACAAGATCTATTTCAGCTGGTATACCACAACATACACAACAGCCTACAAGCCCATGTCATCCATATACAACAGCCTACAAGCCCAAGTCATCCAACATTTTCATTTATTTATCTTGGTATTTCAATAAAACATTTTTTAATTAGTTTCCATTAGCCTATCCCGCAAAAGTAACCCTATGAATGTACAATGCCAGAGTTGAGCATGACATAGGTGTTGCATGACTGGCCATTCCATTATTAATGCTTTTTTAAAAAGCATTTTCTAGGCTAGCCACTTATGTAAGCAAGTGAACTTAGTATTCAATCAAAGTGAAACAAGTCAAGTCTTGATACTAAACAAACTAGTTGTCAAGCAACACCTTGCCAGTAGACAATGTCAAGCAGCCAGTAGACAATGTCAAGCAGCCAGTAGACAATGTCAAGCAGCCAGTAGACAATGTCAAGCAGCCAGTAGACAATGTCAAGCAGCCAGTAGACAATGTCAAGCAGCCAGTAGAGATTGCTTACCTTGTATTGCCGCTGCAGGGTGTCAAACTGTGACTTGAGAGTCTTGAGCTCAGCCATAGCATCCTGGGCATTCTGGACAAGAGAAGATTAGCCACCATTGACCAGAACAAAGACATCTCAAGATAGTGAGCAATTTTCATTTGTGACACTCTACCCCTGACTGGTACCCACCTGCTTCTTTTTAAAAATCAAATTCCACAATAAAGTGTGCCTGTCACAGGCTATAAAATAAAGTGTCCCTGTCACAGGCTATACAATAAAGTGTGCCTGTCACAGGCTATAAAGTGTGCCGGTCACAGGCTATACAATAAAGTGTGCCTGTCACAGGCTATACAATAAAGTGTGCCTGTCACAGGCTATAAAATAAAGTGTCCCTGTCACAGGCTATACAATAAAGTGTGCCTGTCACAGGCTATAAAGTGTGCCGGTCACAGGCTATACAATAAAGTGTGCCTGTCACAGGCTATACAATAAAGTGTGCCTGTCACAGGCTATACAATAAAGTGTGCCTGTCACAGGCTATACAATAAAGTGTGCCTGTCACAGGCTATAAAGTGTGCCTGTCACAGGCTATACAATAAAGTGTGCCTGTCACAGGCTATACAATAAAGTGTGCCTGTCACAGGCTATAAAGTGTGCCTGTCACAGGCTATAAAGTGTGCCGGTCACAGGCTATACAATAAAGTGTGCCTGTCACAGGCTATAAAGTGTGCCTGTCACAGGCTATACAATAAAGTGTCCCTGTCACAGGCTATACAATAAAGTGTGCCTGTCACAGGCTATACAATAAAGTGTGCCTGTCACAGGCTATACAATGAAATGTGTCTGTCACTGGCTATAAAGTGTGCCTGTCACAGGCTATACAATAAAGTGTGCCTGTCACAGGCTATACAATAAAGTGTGCCTGTCACAGGCTATACAATAAAGTGTGCCTGTCACAGGCTATAAAGTGTGCCTGTCACAGGCTATACAATAAAGTGTGCCTGTCACTGGCTATACAATAAAGTGTGCCTGTCACAGGCTATAAAGTGTGCCTGTCACAGGCTATAAAGTGTGCCTGTCACAGGCTATACAATGAAATGTGTCTGTCACTGGCTATAAAGTGTGCCTGTCACAGGCTGTAAAGTGTGCCTGTCACAGGCTATACAATAAAGTGTGCCTGTCACAGGCTATAAAGTGTGCCTGTCACAGGCTATACAATAAAGTGTGCCTGTCACAGGCTATAAAGTGTGCCTGTCACAGGCTATACAATAAAGTGTGCCTGTCACAGGCTATACAATAAAGTGTGCCTGTCACAGGCTATACAATAAAGTGTGCCTGTCACAGGCTATACAATAAAGTGTGCCTGTCACAGGCTATACAATAAAGTGTGCCTGTCACAGGCTATAAAGTGTGCCTGTCACAGGCTATAAAGTGTGCCTGTCACTGGCTATAAAGTGTGCCTGTCACAGGCTATACAATAAAGTGTGCCTGTCACAGGCTATACAATAAAGTGTGTCTGTCACTGGCTATACAATAAAGTGTGCCTGTCACAGGCTATAAAGTGTGCCTGTCACAGGCTATAAAGTGTGCCTGTCACAGGCTATAAAGTGTGCCTGTCACAGGTTATACAATAAGTGTGCCTGTCACAGGCTATAAAGTGTGTCTGTCACAGGCTATAAAGTGTGCCTGTCACAGGCTATACAATAAAGTGTGCCTGTCACAGGCTATACAATAAAGTGTGCCTGTCACTGGCTATAAAGTGTGCCTGTCACAGGCTATACAATAAAGTGTGCCTGTCAGAGGCTATAAAGTGTGTCTGTCACAGGCTATAAAGTGTGCCTGTCACAGGCTATACAATAAGTGTGCCTGTCACAGGCTATACAATAAAGTGTGCCTGTCACAGGCTATACAATAAAGTGTGCCTGTCACAGGCTATACAATAAAGTGTGCCTGTCACAGGCTATACAATAAAGTGTGCCTGTCACAGGCTATACAATAAAGTGTGCCTGTCACAGGCTATAAAGTGTGCCTGTCACAGGCTATAAAGTGTGCCTGTCACAGGCTATACAATGAAATGTGTCTGTCACTGGCTATAAAGTGTGCCTGTCACAGGCTATACAATAAAGTGTGCCTGTCACAGGCTATACAATAAAGTGTGCCTGTCACAGGCTATACAATAAAGTGTGCCTGCCACAGGCTATACAATGAAATGTGTGTCCCCCCATGTCTCAGACCCTGACTAGAGCCCAGATCTTCACTAACATCCCCAATCAAGCAGTGTTACATACTAGAGCCCAGATCTTCACTAACATCCCCAATCAAGCAGTGTTACATACTAGAGCAACATTTTTTTAAATATTAAGATAACTAACCTGTAAGTATCTTCCATTCTCTACAGCTTTGTTGTCAAGTATTCGCTGAAGTCTATCAATCCTATCCTTTAACTCAAGTTCTTGGCGCTTGGAAGCAGCAAGCAGAGACCGGGCTTCACTAAGAGCAAGGTTGGATTCCTCCAGTTCATGTCGGAGGTAGGCTGGGATGTCCCCGGCACTAAACTATACAATAAACATGACATCTAGTACAAAACTAAACTATACAATAAACATGACATCTAGTACAAAACTAAACTATACAATAAACATGACATCTAGTACACAACTAAACTATACAATAAACATGACATCTAGTACACAACTAAACTATACAATAAACATGACATCTAGTACACAACTAAACTATACAATAAACATGACATCTAGTACAAAACTAAACAATAAACATGACATCTAGTACACAACTAAACTATACAATAAACATGACATCTAGTACAAAAATAAACTATACAATAAACATGACATATAGTACATAACTAAACTATACAATAAACATGACATCTAGTACACAACTAAAATATACAATAAACATGACATCTAGTACAAAACTAAACTATACAATAAACATGACATCTAGTACAAAAATAAACTATACAATAAACATGACATCTAGTACAAAACTAAACTATACAATAAACATGACATCTAGTACAAAACTAAACTATACAATAAACATGACATCTAGTACAAAACTAAACTATACAATAAACATGACATCTAGTACAAAACTAAACTATACAATAAACATGACATCTAGTACACAACTAAACTATACAATAAACATGACATCTAGTACACAACTAAACTATACAATAAACATGACATCTAGTACACAACTAAACTATACAATAAACATGACATCTAGTACAAAACTAAACAATAAACATGACATCTAGTACACAACTAAACTATACAATAAACATGACATCTAGTACAAAAATAAACTATACAATAAACATGACATATAGTACATAACTAAACTATACAATAAACATGACATCTAGTACACAACTAAAATATACAATAAACATGACATCTAGTACAAAACTAAACTATACAATAAACATGACATCTAGTACAAAAATAAACTATACAATAAACATGACATCTAGTACAAAACTAAACTATACAATAAACATGACATCTAGTACAAAACTAAACTATACAATAAACATGACATCTAGTACAAAAATAAACTATACAATAAACATGACATCTAGTACAAAAATAAACTATACAATAAACATGACATCTAGTACAAAACTAAACTATACATTAAACATGACATCTAGTACACAACTAAACAATAAACATGACATCTAGTACAAAACTATACAATAAACATGACATCTAGTACAAAACTAAACATATAAACATGACATCTAGTACAAAACTAAACAATAAACATGACATCTAGTACAAAACTAAACTATACATTAAACATGACATCTAGTACACAACTAAACAATAAACATGACATCTAGTACAAAACTATACAATAAACATGACATCTAGTACAAAACTAAACATATAAACATGACATCTAGTACAAAACTAAACAATAAACATGACATCTAGTACAAAACTAAACTATACATTAAACATACATCTAGTACACAACTAAACAAAACAATAAACATGACATCTAGTACAAAACTAAACAATAAACATGACATCTAGTACAAAACTACAATAAACATGACATCTAGTACAAAACTAAACAATAAACATGACATCTAGTACAAAACTATACAATAAACATGACATCTAGTACAAAACTAAACATATAAACATGACATCTAGTACAAAACTAAACAATAAACATGACATCTAGTACACAACTAAAATATACATTAAACATGACATATAGTACAAAACTAAACATATAAACATGACATCTAGTACAAAACTAAACAATAAACATGACATCTAGTACACAACTAAACTATACAATAAACATGACATCTTGTACAAAATTAAACATATAAACATGACATCTAGTACACAACTAAAATATACATTAAACATGACATATAGTACAAAACTAAACTATACAATATCATGACATCTAGTAGACAACTAAACTATACAATAAACATAACATCTAGTACAAAAGTAAACTATACAATATCATGACATCTAGTAGACAACTAAACTATACAATATCATGACATCTAGTACACAACTAAACTATACAATAAACATGACATCTAGTACAAAACTAAACAATAAACATGTCATCTAGTACAAAACTAAACAATAAACATGACATCTAGTAGACAACTAAACTATACAATAAACATGACATGTAATACATAACTATATAATAAACATGTTAATCTATTACATACAGTAAATTGGGATGGCCCCAGTAAGAAGTAAAATGTTTTTAATGAGATTGAAAGAACAGGTAATACCCTAGTTGAAGCCTGATTGAACAAATAAAAATTATTTCCTGTTTTTAAAGTATCGTCAAATCCAATTACCATTTAGACTTTTATTAATAAATCCAATTACCAGTTAAAAATAAATCCAATTACCAGTTAATTTTATTAATAAATATAATTAGCAGTTAGACTTTGGATGATTTTAACAAAACACAGTGAAGGGGCCAATGTTAGGTTATAGTAGTCTAGACTTAGTGCGCCAGTTTAATACGTCATGGCATCAACTGTGTTGTGACTTTTTATCCTCCCCCTCCCCACAGCCAAGCGGTAATATTTGGGGTAACGGTGAGTTCAAACAAGTGAACTTAGTAACAAGGAATTAGTCTAGCCCTAATTGTCCACATTTGCAAAGATATAAAAAAACAGAAGGTGGATTAAATTATACTATATAAAATTCCATAATTTTTTGTTATGACTACCTGCCTGTAAACTCAGATAAACTTAATGAAAAAAAATAGTGGGTAAAATGGAGAGCTTTAATATTTCTGAAGGAGATTATTCTTTCATTAAATGACAATTTTTAAATACTCGTAACATATTCACGCGGTCAGTCCCGCAACAAAATATCTCTCCGCAGCAATAACATCACAACACAGGGTAGACCCACGCAATGGCGCTGGGAAAAATTGGATGTAATTCACGTAATACTAGACTATTTGTTAGTCTGAAATTCACTTTTCTAAATTCCAGACTTTTTCCAGACAGTAAGGGCCCTCTCATTTGTGTTGGTATTTGTCAAAAGGTTATCTCTACATTTAAAAACAAAGACCTCATTTGCTCCCTTCCGTATTTCCATTTCCCGCTTGGACTCATCAAGCTGTTGCTGCAGCGACTTGACCTGGGTCAGCAGGTGTCCTTTCTCATCTTGTTCACCACATCCAAGTCTAGCCTGGTCAATTAGCATAACATGAGTCAAACATCCAAGTCTGACCTGGTCAATTAGCATAACATGAGTCAAACATCAAACATCCAAGTCTGGCCTGGTCAATTAGCATAACATGAGTCAAACATCAAACATCCAAGTCTGGCCTGGTCAATTAGCATAACATGAGTCAAACATCCCAGACTGACCTGGTCAATTAGCATAACATGAGTCAAACATCCCAGACTGACCTGGTCAATTAGCATAACATGAGTCAAACATCCCAGACTGACCTGGTCAATTAGCATAACATGAGTCAAACATCAAACATCCCAGTCTGACCTTGTCAATTAGCATAACATGAGTCAAACATCAAACATCCAAGTCTGGCCTGGTCAATTAGCACAACATGAGTCAAACATCAAACATCCCAGTCTGACCTTGTCAATTAGCATAACATGAGTCAATATCCCAGTCTGACCTTGTCAATTAGCATAACATGAGTCAAACATCCCAGTCTGACCTGGTCAATTAGCATAACATGAGTCAAACATCCCAGTCTGACCTGGTCAATTAGCATAACATGAGTCAAACATCCCAGTCTGACCTTGTCAATTAGCATAACATGAGTCAAACATCCCAGTCTGACCTGGTCAATTAGCATAACATGAGTCAAACATCCCAGTCTGACCTTGTCAATTAGCATAACATGAGTCAAACATCCCAGTCTGACCTGGTCAATTAGCATAACATGAGTCAAACATCCCAGTCTGACCTTGTCAATTAGCATAACATGAGTCAAACATCCCAGTCTGACCTTGTCAATTAGCATAACATGAGTCAAACATCCCAGTCTGACCTGGTCAATTAGCATAACATGAGTCAAACATCCCAGTCTGACCTTGTCAATTAGCATAACATGAGTCAAACATCCCAGTCTGACCTGGTCAATTAGCATAACATGAGTCAAACATCCCAGTCTGACCTTGTCAATTAGCATAACATGAGTCAAACATCCCAGTCTGACCTTGTCAATTAGCATAACATGAGTCAAACATCCCAGCACAAGTCAGGTGCTAAAACTGCCCACAAAAATGACATGAGTCAAACATCCTGGCAAGCACCAGTGTCCAGACCCTGTCACTCTTACCTTGAGCTCATCTCTCTCAGAGGTCAGTTCTCCCAGTGTCCAGTCATCTCTCTCAGAGGTCAGTTCACCCAGTGTCCAGACCCTGTCACTCTTACCTTGAGTTCATCTCTCTCAGAGGTCAGTTCTCCCAGTGTCCAGACCCTGTCACTCTTACCTTGAGTTCATCTCTCTCAGAGGTCAGTTCTCCCAGTGTCCAGTCATCTCTCTCAGAGGTCAGTTCACCCAGTGTCCAGACCCTGTCACTCTTACCTTGAGTTCATCTCTCTCAGAGGTCAGTTCACCCAGTGTCCAGACCCTGTCACTCTTACCTTGAGTTCATCTCTCTCAGAGGTCAGTTCTCCCAGTGTCCAGACCCTGTCACTCTTACCTTGAGTTCATCTCTCTCAGAGGTCAGTTCTCCCAGTGTCCAGTCATCTCTCTCAGAGGTCAGTTCTCCCAGTGTCCAGTCATCTCTCTCAGAGGTCAGTTCACCCAGTGTCCAGACCCTGTCACTCTTACCTTGAGTTCATCTCTCTCAGAGGTCAGTTCTCCCAGTGTCCAGACCCTGTCACTCTTACCTTGAGTTCATCTCTCTCAGAGGTCAGTTCTCCCAGTGTCCAGTCATCTCTCTCAGAGGTCAGTTCACCCAGTGTCCAGACCCTGTCACTCTTACCTTGAGTTCATCTCTCTCAGAGGTCAGTTCTCCCAGTGTCCAGACCCTGTCACTCTTACCTTGAGTTCATCTCTCTCAGAGGTCAGTTCTCCCAGTGTCCAGACCCTGTCACTCTTACCTTGAGTTCATCTCTCTCAGAGGTCAGTTCTCCCAGTGTCCAGTCATCTCTCTCAGAGGTCAGTTCACCCAGTGTCCAGACCCTGTCACTCTTACCTTGAGTTCATCTCTCTCAGAGGTCAGTTCTCCCAGTGTCCAGTCATCTCTCTCAGAGGTCAGTTCACCCAGTGTCCAGACCCTGTCACTCTTACCTTGAGTTCATCTCTCTCAGAGGTCAGTTCACCCAGTGTCCAGACCCTGTCACTCTTACCTTGAGTTCATCTCTCTCAGAGGTCAGTTCACCCAGTGTCCAGACCCTGTCACTCTTACCTTGAGTTCATCTCTCTCAGAGGTCAGTTCTCCCAGTGTCCAGTCATCTCTCTCAGAGGTCAGTTCACCCAGTGTCCAGACCCTGTCACTCTTACCTTGAGTTCATCTCTCTCAGAGGTCAGTTCTCCCAGTGTCCAGACCCTGTCACTCTTACCTTGAGTTCATCTCTCTCAGAGGTCAGTTCTCCCAGTGTCCAGTCATCTCTCTCAGAGGTCAGTTCTCCCAGTGTCCACACCCTGTCACACTTACCTTGAGCATATCTCTCTCAGAGGTCAGTTCTCCCAGTGTCCAGTCATCTCTCTCAGAGGTCAGTTCTCCCAGTGTCCAGTCATCTCTCTCAGAGGTCAGTTCTCCCAGTGTCCAGTCATCTCTCTCAGAGGTCAGTTCTCCCAGTGTCCAGTCATCTCTCTCAGAGGTCAGTTCTCCCAGTGTCCAGTCATCTCTCTCAGAGGTCAGTTCTCCCAGTGTCCAGTCATCTCTCTCAGAGGTCAGTTCTCCCAGTGTCCAGTCATCTCTCTCAGAGGTCAGTTCTCCCAGTGTCCAGTCATCTCTCTCAGAGGTCAGTTCTCCCAGTGTCCAGAGCCTGTCACTCTTACCTTGAGTTCATCTCTCTCAGAGGTCAGTTCTCCCAGTGTCCAGTCATCTCTCTCAGAGGTCAGTTCTCCCAGTGTCCAGTCCCTGTCACCCTTACCTTGAGCTCATCTCTCTCAGAGGTCAGTTCTCTAATCTCTAGCTGCAGTTTTTCCACGCTCACATTTCTTGGATCACTGACATCACATTCCTTAAATAACATCAGTTATAACTTCAAACATACTGTAGATATAATGTCTCACAGACTATATAACATTACACATACAATAGGAAATCACATCAGACATACTAAGATTTAACAGCACACATACTATGAGAAAAAAACTATAACAATGTCATGGCAGACACGGTTTTCATCCATTTTTTACTTTCTCGTAAACCAAATATAGAGGAAGTATCGTAAACCGTAATTGTGCAAAAAATCAAAATAGAGATTTTTTTAAAAATCTTGACGTTTTACCCCTGCCTGAGTAAAAAAAAAATTCATAAAAAACGTTTTAATAACAAGCTTTTATGTAATGATGCACTAAAAAGTAGAAAATAAATTATAGACTACTATTTAAATAACTATAAAGAAAAGCGTGGGTCACTTTAGTATCTATTGGATACCTTTACTAATGTTAAGGAAGACACCCACGCTTTTCTTTATAGTTATTTAAATAGTAGTCTATAATTTATTTTCTACTTTTTAGTGCATCATTACATAAAAGCTTGTTATTAAAACGTTTTTTATGAATTTTTTTTTCAGTACTTTACATGTTTTATTTACAATAGAGTTACATGACTAAAAACCATTGCGCGCCTACTGAACATCATGTTCAGTAGGCGCGCAATGGTTTTTGAACGCAGCCATTACGTGATGGCGCAGCTATTGAAGGTGATGACCCCTATTGAAGGTGATGACGCCTATTGCGCGCCTACTGAACATCATGTTCAGTAGGCGCGCAATGGTTTTTGAACGCAGCCATTACGTGATGGCGCAGCTATTGAAGGTGATGACGCATGTGGTGTGGTTGGCTAGACATGCCTACTAATTCGGTCCAAATTTTTATTAATTCATAAAAAATTAATTAGGCATCCAATTAAGTCAAATTTAGTTTCAGATTGCATTGTCTTCATGTCTTGACCCACGTGCCAACTGTGAATCGTATCGGTCAAGTAGAACTGTCCGAATTTTCACTCCTGCGTTTCCGTCTAGACAGACTGACGACAGAGGAAGTGAGTTAAATAAAAGCTTGTAAAAATCATAGTTTTTCAAATTTGTCCATATATCTGTGTGTGTGTGTGTGTGTGTATATGTCTGTGAACACGATAACTTAAGTAACGCTACAGATAGATTGATGAAATTTCATATATAACCATTTAATCAAATTTGTAGCTCTATAACAAATTTTCAGCGATTTCTGGTAACCGGAAGTGGAATTTATTCAACTTTTGGTTTTTTCAAAAGCCTATAACTTGATTACTGTTTCAGATAGATAAAAGAAATTTCACATAAAAGTACAAGATCTAACTCTCTGCCTTCAATCAAATTTTGAGTAATTTCCGTTGACTGGAAATAGTACATTTCTGAATTCTCAAAAAACGCTTATGAATTTATAAAGTTCTAATATTCAGCATTATTATACACAATGTTTGCTGTTCACTTTGTGCGCAATCTTTTTTTATATGAGATTCTGTTCTATTTTAAAAAGTTTAAGTATTTAAAAATTGATTAAAAATCATGTCTATATCCTGAGTTGCCATCCCAGAAGTGTGCCATGTTTTAAACATCCAAGAAACAGAGTGGTTCTGGGTTGGCCCAGAAGTGTGCCATGTAATGTCTAGAGCTGGGGTTCCCAACCCTGTGCCCGCACGCGGGCGCCATGGCACCCGCTGAACGATTCGTATGTGCCCGCCTCTCACTATTTGAGAGAGACAGAATTTTTTTCATAAACATTATTTTAAACGAGCCGACCCGCAGCATATCATACACAGCTATTTAGTTGTTTTATTTTCTACTTTTCGGTAATTCATAATTTGTGAATTCAACAGTGCCAATGCTGCCACTGAAAATATTTGCTTTAAAACACTATCAGTAGGTCGTTAAGGATGATACTACCCCCACCTTCCTTTCCCCCAACCCCTACACCCCCCCTCGTGAAAGCAGCCTCCTCTTAGTTACCTCCCCTAAGTTTAAAACAGTTTCAAACTAAATTATCTGCCCCTAATAGCCGTCACTAAATCCGGCTCTACAATTGTAAACATTTAGTGTGAACCAAAGCTCACCAGACCATGTAGGGGTGGGGAGCGCGCTTACAGTTTGTTTTCTAGCGTCTCCAAGAAGAGAATTATTGAAACATTTTTGTTTATTATTTATTAATACATTATGACTATAAGAAAATAAATTATGGGAAAATGACATGTTATGGAAGGAGTTTGTTGATTTAAAATAGGTGGTGCTCGTCACCCTACCAATATTTTAGAATGTGCTTTAGAGTAAAAAAAGGTTGGGAACCCCTGGTCTACTAGCTGATTAACTTTTGACACTAACCTTAACTTTGGCTGACAATTTTTCATTTTCCTCTGTCAGAGTTTTATTGCTTAGAGCTTCCTTTTCTAGCTGAGCTACAAGGTCATTTTCACTTGTCATCATGTCCTCAATCTGCCAGGATATTTAAAGAGTAAACATCAATGTCAGCCTGATAGCTTTAGACAAAACCAAGTAAACATCAATGTCAGCCTGATAGCTTTAGACAAAACCAAGTAAACATCAATCAATGTCAGCCTGATAGCTTTAGACAAAACCAAGTAAACATCAATCAATGTCAGCCTGATAGCTTTAGACAAAACCAAGTAAACATCAATCAATGTCAGCCTGATAGCTTTAGACAAAACTAAGTAAACATCAATGTCAGCCTGATAGCTTTAGACAAAACCAAGTAAACATCAATCAATGTCAGCCTGATAGCTTTAGACAAAACCAAGTAAACATCAATCAATGTCAGCCTGATAGCTTTAGACAAAACTAAGTAAACATCAATGTCAGCCTGCTAATGTTAGACAAAAGATTTACCTCATTGCGTAGATCTGCAACATTAGCTGTCTGAAGATCAAGATTTGCCCTCAGTTCTTCAATGAGTTTTTCCTTCTCAGTCAAGTCAGACCTCATGACTACTAGCTGTTGCTCCAGACCTTTCACCTTCAAATCTTCAAACACTTTCTCCTAGTTTGGAGCAAAATGGCAATTTTTAGGGTACGAGTATTTTTTGAGTATGTTTGTGTCTATGTGATACAAGACCCAGCGGTCCATTGGATAGATGATGTGGAATTAATTTTTCTTAACCTCGCCACATGAAAGGAAGTTGTGGTCAGCACTATGCCCAGCCACCTTTCTTTACCCAACCAGAGACATTTACACAGAAGGGAAGTTGTGGTCAGCACTATGCCCAGCCACCTTTCTTTACCTAACCAGAGACATTTACACAGAAGGGAAGTTGTGGTCAGCACTATGCCCAGCCACCTTTCTTTACCTAACCAGAGACATTTACACAGAAGGGAAGTTGTGGTCAGCACTATGCCCAGCCACCTTTCTTTACACAACCAGAGACATTTACACATCAAGGCTGAATGGACTCAGGGACATCCTACAGTCTAAATAAACATCTTAACTCCATACATGCAGGCTGGTAGCCAAACAAGCTGATACAAAACAAGCTACAGTCTAAATAAACATCTCAACTCCATACATGCAGGCTGGTAGCCAAACAAGCTGATACAAAACAAGCTACAGTCTAAATAAACATCTCAACTCCATACATGCAGGCTGGTAGCCAAACAAGCTGATACAAAACAAGCTTCAGTCTAAATAAACATCTCAACTCCATACATGCAGGCTGGTAGCCAAACAAGCTGATACAAAACAAGGACCAAATTATTTTTTCAATTTCAGCTGGCTATAAAGACCACTTATGTTTTTTTTATTGATCTTTAATCAGCATTTTATTTCTTTGTTTTAGATTGAAGGAAATTTTTTAGCCAGTTGCAAGGTTTTGTTTAAGTGTGATACTGATAAGGTCTGAGTTAAAATTGTGAGTAAATGCATTATAAAAAAACCCTGGCAAGACCTTATCTTAGAATGGTGGTTCTTAACTTTATTGGAAGTACCCAACACCACTAGCTTCATATGAGCAATCATTCAACACTTCTTAATAGCAAATTTTTTCTCAAATTTTCAATTCAAAATATAGGTAGCCTATATATTTTACTGGTGCACTAAATGAACCGTGCTTCAACATCGGTGAGTTCTAAGCGTTTAAATATTATTTTCAAACAAAAACATACTTTTAGTTACTGCAAATCAGTGTGACTTTTGATGCATTTCAGACACTAATTCAGAAATGCACAGCTTCACCTTAAATTCATCATTAAACCATCTTGTTTTTTGTATTTTCCATCTCCATGCAACTTAATGTGTTATCTTATTTTAGCCGGTGCTAAACTGAATTCTAGAATTGTTAATCTTTCTTTCATATACTGCAGGGGTCTCCAAACTTTTCAGTCCGAGGGCCGCATTAACTATCAAATTTCAGTTCGGGGGCCAGTTTCTTCCAGGCATGTCTTTGATTTTTCTGGGCAAAATTCCTAAGCCATCACCAACAAACGATTTTTCCCTTGGACAAAAAGATCTCCGCGGGCCGGATGCGAGGACTTCGCGGGCCGGATGCGGCCCGCGGGCCGTAGTTTGGAGAACCCTGATATACTGTATTGTTGGCCTATATATTCCACCAACCACTGTCATAATTTGAAGAGATTAAAATATTGTGGTGATGTGTATGAAAAGGTGTGTAGGTGGGACCTGCGTGTTTGTTTAGCGCAGTATTGCCCAAGGCCAGGTTTGTTGACAAAGTATGTGGTACAGAGGGACAAGAGATGCAACTGGTCAACTGACAGCGGGTGCATTGTGAAGGGGGGGGGGGGGATGGGAGGTGTGTAGGGTTGAATGTGGATGGCAGAGACTTGGCTCACCTAAAAATCTGATGGCAATGATATGAGTGGGGCGTGTCTTGACCTCTGCCCAACCCCAGAGACTGACATAGCAAACTTCTAGGGTTCCAACAACCCAAATTAAGCACCACTGTCTAAGAACAAAACCAAATACTTATTACCTTGTCTGCCAGCTCTTGTGTTTTCTTCCATCCACTGGCCTGCAACATAGCCAAGGAGGTTCTTTTATTTACAATTTTCTGAGAGTCTGCACAGGCAACCTGTTTTTCCAGTGATTCATTTTGCTTGCGCAGCTCAGCATTTTCTTTTTGTAGTTTCTCAACGAGGTTGCACCTAGTTTCCCCACTAGTTCTAGTCTGCCCTCCTCTCTGTTTCTCCATCCTGTCAATGATACTTTTGAGTCGATTGATCTCTAGACTCAACTTGTTCACCTCCCTCTCAGCTCCAGCACTTGTCTCCAGCCTCCCAAGGCTTGATTCTAGCCTATTTATTTCTTTATTCAACTTGGCCAAGTGTTCATCAGAAATTTCTTTCTCTTTAACCAGTTGATTTAACTGCCCCTCCATGGCTAACTTTTCTCTCTGCACAGCTTCCTTTTCTTTTTCCAACGCAATTTTCTCTTTTTCTATTTTTCCTTTTTCTCTTTCTGCTACTACTTTTTCTGCCTTCAACTGAACTATCAATGACTTTTCTACTTCTTTGTTTTTTTCTGATGTCTCAAGTGCTAGCCTGAGGGTCGCAAGCTCTTTCTCAATTCTTGCCTTTTCTTTCTCACTCATCTCCAAGAGTGCAGCCTTGACTTTGAGCTGAGCCATCTCTTGAGTGGTGTCAACAGTTTTCAGGTCTTCAAGCTGCTTTAGCTTAGTCTCCAGCTCCTGCTTGTCAGCTGTGAGAGCTGCCACTCTCACTTTCTCACGTCTATTCTCTAACTCAAGTTTCTCAACTTTTTCTTCCAGGTTTAGCTTGTCTTTTTCCAAACAAGACAAACGTTCCAGCTAAAATAAGAAAATAATTGGGGTTTGAATGAATAAGAACCAATTTGTTAGACGAGCAAATGTGAAGCACTTCAACCTACCTTAACCTCCAATCGCCTTTTTTCTCTTTCTAAAGTTGCCATTTTTTCAAGTTTAGATTCTAGCTGACGTTTATCTTTCTCTAGTGCCTCAAGTCTTTCAATTCTTCCAACAAGCCTCTCCTTTTCTCTCTCTGTAAGGGATATCTTATCCTCTAAATTCTGTTTTTCCCTAATAGCACTAGTTAGGCGTCTTTCCAAATCACTATTTTGCTGACGTAGGTGACTTATTTGGAAATTCAGCTCAGCCTTGGATTCTTTCTGGTCTTCAATCTTTACAGAACTTTTCTGAAGGCTTTCTATTTGAACCTAGGGTTAGACATACACTCCTTTTCTTCAAAATGATTTGTATCATTTCATGGGTTAAACATGCTTAAATGAATGAAACAATACAAGTAAAAAGTGCATGATTGGATCATCTAACAAAAGACATTTGTGAACCTGTAGATCAGTGTTCCTCTGCTGCAGCTGCTGGAGATGGACTTGGATGTCAGCATTTCTCCTCTCCAGCTTCTCCATCTCTAGACTTCTGTCATCCAACAATTGTGTGAGAGTCTCAACCTACAGCCACACAAATGTAAGAGTCTCAACCTACAGCCACACAAATGTAAGAGTCTCAACCTACAGCCACACAAATGTAAGAGTCTCAACCTACAGCCACACAAATGTAAGAGTCTCAACCTACAGCCACACAAATGTAAAAGTCTCAACCTACAGCCACACAAATGTAAGAGTCTCAACCTACAGCCACACAAATGTAAGAGTCTCAACCTACAGCCACACAAATGTAAGAGTCTCAACCTACAGCCACACAAATGTAAGAGTCTCAACCTACAGCCACACAAATGTAAGAGTCTCAACCTACAGCCACACAAATGTAAGTCTCAACCTACAGCCACACAAATGTAAGAGTCTCAACCTACAGCCACACAAATGTAAGAGTCTCAACCTACAGCCACACAAATGTAAGAGTCTCAACCTACAGCCACACAAATGTAAGAGTCTCAACCTACAGCCACACAAATGTAAGAGTCTCAACCTACAGCCACACAAATGTAAGAGTCTCAACCTACAGCCACACAAATGTAAGAGTCTCAACCTACAGCCACACAAATGTAAGAGTCTCAACCTACAGCCACACAAATGTAAGAGTCTCAACCTACAGCCACACAAATGTAAGAGTCTCAACCTACAGCCACACAAATGTAAGAGTCTCAACCTACAGCCACACAAATGTAAGAGTCTCAACCTACAGCCACACAAATGTAAGAGTCTCAACCTACAGCCACACAAATGTAATAGTGCTATGAGATTTTCAAATTTGTTATGATTGTAGTATATTATGCACACAGTATTATATATCTTGATTCTGGGAACACATCACATGGTTCAAATTTAAAATCAGTCCATTAATTAGCTAAATTTGCTTAGTTTATTTTGCTGTTTTGCTATTTCTACAAGTTTTGTTTTTTAAGCCAAGTTTCAATTTTCTAATACAAATAATAATCATTAAAAAAGTTTTTAAAAACCCACGTTTTCTGATTGAACTAAAAAGTAGAAAATAAATGCTATAGGCCCTACATCACAATAATGCAAGCGATCACTCTACTATAAGCGATCAAAAACGTGGGGCGCCGAAGTAAAAGTTATATTACTATTGATTAGATAATACTATTGACTTTTATTAGGGAGCTTGTAGAGAGTCAACAGTATTAGAAACTGTAAGAAAATCACGGCGCCCCACGTTTTTGCTCGCTTATAGTAGAGTGATCGCTTGCATTATTGTGATGTAGGGCCTATAGCATTTATTTTCTACTTTTTAGTTCAATCAGAAAACGTGGGTTTTTAAAAACTTTTTTAATGATTATTATTTTCTACTTTTTAGTCTTTGTCTGTTTGTTTGCATTAAAATCTTGCTATCGATTTTATCTTTTCACTTTTTTTGGGTAAACGAAGACAACTCGTAAAAAGACAACTCGTAAAAAGACAACTCGTAAAAAGACAACTCGTAAAAAACACGTTGTTTGAATACGTTACTGACTAGAACACATAGATTTGAACCCGTGTCGAGTGGGATAGCAATCGTGTGCCCAACCACTCGACCATATCGTCTCCCCCAAACTGGCCTACCTCCTGTAAGTTTAAACTCGGTTCAAGCTAAATTCTCTGCCCCTAAGCCTGTGGCGACATGTGATCGTTCGCTTCACTGCGCGCGAGGTACGCGTCGCTGGTTTTTTTTTGTAATGGCTAGCAGAGGAGAATTATATATATAGATTATATAGCGGTCTAAAATGCTCAATAAAATGTTTCCATTGATCAATTTAGTAATAATAACAATTGAATATTCAATGGTCATCCAAAAGAAAGCTTCCCTGAAAATTTCAGCGCGCTAGCTAACTGGGAAGTGCCAGAAATTTCGATCGCAAGATTGGATTGGAAAGACAAACAAATAAATAAATAAACACACAGAGAAAGCAAGTTAAAGAAAACGTGGTAAAAACTTCTGAAACAGTGAACAAACTTGTCACAAGAGGATGTAAAGATTCAATTTTTTTATCAACATACCAACACACAGTATCAAACATATGATACAAGAACCAGCCCTGCCTGCCAGACATGATACAAGTACCAGCCCTGCCTGCCAGACATATGATACAAGTACCAGCCCTGCCTGCCAGACATATGATACAAGTACCAGCCCTGCCTGCCAGACATATGATACAAGTACCAGCCCTGCCTGCCAGACATATGATACAAGTACCAGCCCTGCCTGCCAGACATATGATACAAGTACCAGCCCTGCCTGCCAGACATATGATACAAGTGCCGGACACATGACTGACCTGGGCTGCCAGTGTTGTCTCTCTCCTCTCTAGTCGCTGTCTATCACAAGTGACTTTGGTCAACTCATCCTCTAGAGAAGCAACTTTGGCTTCAGTTACCTCCACCTGACAGTCATAGCGTTTTCTTCAATAATAGAAAATAATGCCGTTAGATTTATAGAAAGAGCAAGTTTTTAACAAAAAATCTAAATTATTTTCAGTTTTTATACAAGTAATACATTTCAAAAGATTAATGTAGTACATTGCAACCAAAAGTAGAAAATATTACTGTACCCCATATGCCTACCCTACACAACCAAAAGTAGAAAATATTACTGATATGCAGACCCCTCACAACCAAAAGTAGAAATATTACTGTACCAGATATGCCTACCCCTCACAACCAAAAGTAGAAAATATTACTGTACCAGATATACACTTCACAACCAAAAGTAGAAATATTACTGTACCAGATATACCCCTCACAACCAAAAGTAGAAAATATTACTGTACCAGTAGATATGCCTACCCCTCACAACCAAGAGTAGAAAGTCTTACGCAAATAGAGGATTTAGGAACCAAAAAAAGGAATGTAACTCATGGATGCTACTTGGTCTAAGCCTTACATTATGCAGGTGGATAAAGGTCTAAGAATAGAGTTTAAAAGGCCAATAGTTCTATATAGCAGGTCTCTAGCCTACATCTAAATACTGCATATTGGCAGTTTACATGTTTATGTAGGCTACCATGAGAAAACCAAAATTAACCATTTTTATAAGTAGCCAAGCCACATTGTCATTCATGCTTTGTGCATAGCTTTATTAAAATTTGTTGGTATGAAAAATTTTCTCACATGGTCCAGGGGTTGTGAGTTCTCACATAGCAGGAACATAGCCATTTGAGAGTGAATGCTGCTCTATTTCTCTCCCAAACAAGCAGTATAAAATATGTACCTGGGGTCATGATGAGTTCACATTACCCACTGTCCATTGCTACACTTCTTTCTTCTTCTTCTTCGTTCTTAATTATTAATGTTGAAGGCGATCGAGATTTATCTGCCAGTGGGTTTGAACTCGAGACTTTGTTCGAATTTATCAACCATGAGCTTTTTGCCGACTCGACCACGCCTCCAACACAATTAAGCGTTACGTGCCAACTGGTTTTGCGCCATTGAGGCCATTGACTCCGATTTCAGCCTGCTTTTCTTTTTGGATTTGCTTCCATAGCCTTTGTCCAACCAAGAACGAACTACAAGGCAGCAGTTGTTTAATTTTGGAGTTGTCTCTCCTAGAAGAGTAGCTGTCCCCAGCTAACGAGCCTCATCTGCCCGAGGGTTCGAACTCGAGACTTTTCTGTTTAGCAACCATGAGCTTTACCGACTCGACCACGCCGACCCATTGCTACACTGAGGGTCAGGCGATTTAGATCTACTTTTCATTATAGAGCGGCAACGCTTTAGATTACTTTTTTCAAAAATTTACTTCACAAATTCTGTAAAATCTGAATCTTGACCTGGATTAAATTTGTATCTATTATTGACAAACCTAGTGTAATTGTCCAATTGAAAAGAAATGCGGACATCCAATCATCAATTTGAATGGAGTGATAATAAAGAAATCAACATGTTTTGTTTTGGTAAAGAGGCTGAAGAATTCTGCTACTGGAGCAACTAAATTTATACTCAATTGAAATACAAGTTATCTGTTTATTCAAAATATTTTTTTGAAAATTTTCCTCAAAGGGGAAGGTTTAAATATTTTTTGGGATGCATCTCTGGAAAAGTAAAGTAAACTAAGTAAAGTTCCCTTTCAAACCTGATGGTCTATGGGGCAAGTTAAGTAGAGTTCACTTGTTTCTGTGACCTTGGCATATGAAGAGAAAGTGTGGTCAGCACTATGCCCAGCCTCCTTTACTTTCCCTAACCTGAGTTAGGTACCCATCAGAGTTGGGTGGACTCGGGGACGGTCTACTGACTTGAACCCGGATTTGAACTCAGGATTTACAGGTTAGCAGTCCAGCTCTCTACCGCTAGACCACTCTGTACCCTATCTCTGGAAAAACCATGGTCATATTCCTGAGAAAATATTATTTAGGGGGTTGCTTGAGATGTTACTTTATTGTTGGTTGAAAGACTCCAGAAGTTAAAAACATTTATTGCCCATTAATTTGATCCCAAGTTCAGCTATCATTTAAACTGGCTCGCCTAGAAATGCTATTTACTATTAAATGGCTACCAACATGCAGAGTCTGTTATTTTGTAAATTCATGCTTCTCATTGATTATCTAACAAGATATGTTGCTTGTTAGATTTTGTTATATAACATGGTTAAAAGACAGTAATTGGCTGTTGTCTGTTCTAGTTAATATTCTCTCTGAATTGAACAATTTTGGTTGCTATAGCTTCTGCTTGATGAAAACTGATGATGTACATATTGAAATAGCTTAACTTTATAAATAAAAATCAACTAAGCTTGGTATTATTTCATTACCATGGTAACCATAAATCAAGCAGCTCAGTATCATTCTAATATTACAGAGCGAAAAACCTTTATAAATTGGGAAACTACTGATAAGATATATTACTTGGGAAACCACTGACAAAATAAATTACTCGGGAAAACATTAGCATAGCAGGTAAATGTGTTTTTTATGAAAAATGTTACTTGTAATCTTGAGCCAGAGCTCTTTGCTCTTCAAGCTTGTGAATAGCATCCTCCATCTGCCTGGCTTTCTGTAATGCTGAATGTCTGCTGCGTTCAGCTTCTTCCTTTAAGGACATTAACTCAGACTCCAAATTGAGTTTACTTTGTTGGGTCTCCTGAAAGAAAATGTTGATTACAGTACATACATGAGGAAAGATACCTTGAATACACGCTTGTATTGTCAGAAATACCTTGAGTTTGCTTTCAGTTTCAGTAACAGATAGACTTTTGTTTAAATAGCTTCGCATGGTTCCTTGTAAATCTTTTATTATGCTCTTTTGTGTCTCCACCTCTTGTTGATAGCTGCTGACCTACAATTTTAAAAAGATATTTTAAATACAAAAATGTTTGTAACTTGTTTTAAAATCTTAAAAAAGATAGATGTAGAAGACAATAGTTTACCTTTTCCATGAGGCTGTCTTTCATTTTTCTACCCATCCCTTCTTTTTGTTTTAAAATATTGTTATCAGATTCTAAACTTGATATTTTTAATATCAGTTCCTCTTCTTTATCTCGCCATTCTTTAGCCTTGTCTGCATATTTATCCACCATTTTTTGAAGCATCTGAAAAATTACTTTTTGGAATAAATTATTTCTGCACATCTTCCATAGTATTAAGGATAGCAGAAATGAAACTAACCACCTAAAAAATCAAATTTTATTTCCCAAAACAGAAATACTATGCAGACAAGCCCAAGCTAGTGAAGGAATTTTCACAATTTTTCAGGTGGAAAGACATATCAAGCAAATCTATGACAAGAATTAAAATGTACATCATAGACATTCAGTGAGATAACACTGGGTTCATCAAAACAGACTGTCACACAAGCGGTTAAACACATGCAGAGAAGTAACTGACCTAGGGGAAAAAGAGCAAATTTTGTACGGGGGTGCAATGAAGGCAGCAAAATCAAATTTAACTTTTTTACCTAAATTTAAAGACCATAAGATCTAGGCCCTGATCAATCATGTAACCACATCATAGTAGGCCTATATCAGTATTTTATGTCAAAATATTAAGACGTATATCTAGTGTGTTTTTTTTTTTTATTTAGTAACAAACACAAAATAACCAGGTTAAAATTAGATACTTAAAATAAAAGCGCTTGTACAATGTGCTAGCGCAGGCTTGTGTCGTAGGCCTCAAGATCAGCACAACCATGAAAAGTGGGTGACGTTAAAGTTATATAATAAAAACGGTGCATTTCTCTGCACATTTCTGTTTCATACTTCATAGTCTTTCAAATCAATTCACTGTTTATTTTAGTCACTACAAAATAGAAAGAGAAACAAAGAGTCTAAGTCAGCACAAAAGCTTTCTGCCGTTTTTATTTTTTTTGGAAAATGCAGAGTTTGTAAGAATGGAAAAGTTACATTCTTCTTGAGATAATCCTATAAAGAACCACAACAAAATATGACTTCAAAAACTTAAGTCTACAGCCCCACCCACCTCTCCAATATTTTTTTTCAGGACTGTCTGCAACTTCTGACATACTTTATGAAATGAAAAATAGTGGGTAAAATTGAGAGGTAGTGTTTGTGTGATCGCTCTTTCAATTAACATTCACACGGCCAATGTAAGTTTACACGCTGTAGACTATTACCCATCCCCAAATGACGCAGGCTAGGTACCGAGTGAACAACGTTCTTCTGTAAACCAGCGAAATAGTCATAAAGCAGGAGAAGAAGATGCAACTATTGAAATATGGGTAGCAAAAGTGGGAAAAATGGATCGACTGAAAATATTTCTGATGTTTTTCAAAAAGTCTGCCAAAATATTGATTTTTTATCAGCGGAAAATTTCAGTTTTATTTTTCCAGCACTCACAGTTTATAAGATGAAAAAAAAAACAAATGTGTGGAAAAAAGCGGAAAAGTTACAACTCTGCACATGTGAGGGCTGGTTAGGTCAATTTAAACTGCTGTCCTGTGTTTTTTTCTATAGTAAGGCAATAAAAATTATCATTTCAGTGAGGAGATATCTACCTGCAACTTGTTCAGAGTTTTATTATCCAAAAAGGAACAGCGACCAGACTTTAGAGTCACATGGAGAGTTAATTTTTTCTTTGAGGGACACAGAGCATGGTGAAGGTTGTCTAGTTCCACCTACAAACATAAGATTGAAAGCTTCAGTTATACATAACCACACACACACAAACATAAGATTGAAAGCTTCAGTTATACATAACCACACACACACAAACATAAGATTGAAAGCTTGAGTCATACATAACCACACACACCTGCTAATAACTTTTTAAATGGCTTTTTAATTCTATGTACCATGGCACCTGTCAAGCTGATAATGGACGTGGAGAGAGGGCACATAAGGTCTGGCACAAGTTGACTCCCATACCTTGGCTTGAGTGGAGTCTCCAGACAAGTTGACATCAGACACAGTGTACGTGGACAAGTCATGCAATGATGTATTCATCTTCTGCTGTAGCTCTTGGACTTGTGTGGCTTGTTTCTCTTGACTGTCTTCATAAGCTTCTACAAGTTCTTCCAGCTCATGAAGCTTGGCTGTCAGCTCATCAATGCTTGCCTGCTTGTCTGCTAGTAGACTCTCCCAGGTCTCATTTCTCAGCTCCAGTAACACTAAATCTTTATGCTGACCTTCTCGGGATTTTCGTCTTTCTCTCTCAAGTTTAAACTGCTGAGACTAAACACAAATATTTCCCAATTTTACATTTCTCTAGAAGGGTTTTCAACTAGTTTATTTCACATAATTTATTAAGGTATTTCAACTAGTTTATTTTACATTACTTTTGAAGACATTTCAAATCTAACATTAATGTAAAGCTATTTCCTCTTTATAAGTACATACATTTTCCTTTCCATTTCCCTATGAATACTAATAGTAAATCAACTATTCAATACATAAGGTCACATGCAAGTTTATTGTTACGAGATTAATAACCTGAGTATATACTTGCTGAAGTCAGATGAACCAATACGTGATCATGTGGAAAATAGAAACATGTATAAGGGGTTGTCTGTGCATGAGTCACAAAAAGTCAGTATACCACTGGTGGAACAACTGATGTCTTAGTAGAATGAGTGAAATATTGAGGAGAGAAAATCTCATACCTGCAGCTGGTTGTTTACATCTTGCAGGCTAGTCTGGGTCTTCAGTAATTGAGATTCCTTTTCCCTCAGTTGAGCTTTCAGCTTTTCATGTCCTGATTCCAACATGATGATTTCAGCTTGCATCTCTTCCAGTCTAACTTCTAATAGTTCATCCTCTAATCAAACAATATTGAACTCAATCAGAAACATGTTTTATATCCTTAACCGTAGTAGACTAAGTTTCAAGACAGAAATCACTTACCCAGAACACGGATTTCATCATTCATGGCACTCAAATTTTCCATCAGAGAAACAGCACGTGTTTCTAAATCATTTGGGCTTATGTGCTGTTTATGTAGTATGGCACGTAGTTTTTCCAGTTCTTGATTTTTTTCTTCCAGTTTCTGCAGCAATCTAGTGTTTGATGAGCTAATGGAAGTCTGCTCTGATACAGCATGGCTGTTGTTACTGTCTTGAGGGGAGTCTTTAGAGAATGTAAAACCAACAAACGGAAGATCTCTGCCAGAAAAATCTTTGGGCTGAATAAATGCTTCAATATCTGGCTGGCGTTTGACTGTTTCCACCTCATCAAAATGGGAAGTGTCATCTAATCCATGGATGGATGGAACATACACAGCTTCGCCTAGGTAAGTAAAATACAAAATGATGGAGGCCTGAGGTTGATAAATCCACCTGTCTCTATACTACTCAAGTTTGTTTACATATTTGAATATTTATTTGTTTTTTTTTGTTTGTCTGATTGACTACTGGAGAGAATCTGCTCTATGTGGAGAGCTGTAAAATAGTATGTAGGTAGAGAACAATTTTTGTTTTCAGACAAACTGTTAATCACACATTTATTTAAATTAAAGACGTTAATTAATTTATTGATTTATTCATAGGTAGATTAACCACATTAATTTTTAAGTTTAAGACATTGACTTTACTTTGTGGGAATATTAATGTCACAGTCACAGGATTTGTTTACTTTTTAGTACAATAAATGGCGGTTTCAATCCAAGATTTAGTTGCCGATTCAGATGTTTAACGCGTTCTGAAACTAATTTTCTGTCGGCTATAACTTTAACAATACGTCCATTTTCTATTTTATTACGTTTCAACACTATTATCAATGTTTTAACAGTTCTTTTTATTTTATTATACAATACATTTCTCTAGATGTACAGAAATATGTTAAGATTCTTACGCTGCTTAGAAGTAAAATATATAAAGTTATTAACTTCTGCGTACGAGCCTAGATAGCTAAGAGGTTAGCACATTGGGTTACAATGCGGGTGGCATGGGTTCTAGACATGTCGGTATTGTTTTTTTTTTTTTTAATTTTTTTTTTGTTTTTAGTTGTGAATGATAATGTTGCCTTTGCCTATTGGAACTTAGCGGGATACAGGGCAGGTGAAGTAGAGTTCACCTGTTTCTTTGTCCTCAGTATATAACGTGGATAGTGTGGTCAGAGCCATGCTCGGCTGGAATTATTTTTTTTTAAAGATAAAACATGTTGTCTGAGACTTGGCGGAACACTGGGCAGGTGAAGTAGTGTTGGGTAGGTGTAAAGTTCACCTGTGGCGACAGCATATGAAGAGATAGTGTGGTCACGCTCAGCCAAAATCTGTGTTTTCACAGACAAAAACATGTCTGAGTTGGGAGGACACTGGGCAGGTGAAGTAGAGTTGACCTGTTTTTTGTGACCTCAGCATATGAAAAGATTATGTAGTCAGACCCATGCTCAGACGAACTCAGTGTTTTTAAAAGACAAAAACGTCTGAGGTGTGACGCCTTTTTGAATGTGAAGTCTGGTTATTTTGTGATGGTAAGTGACAGACGTGATGTCATTTATGGATGACCCCCAAAACCCACAGTTATCTAATGATAACGGGTAGTATAGTTAGTATTATAAGGCAGAGTTAAACAAATTGTAGCGAATTTCAGAATTTGATGGGGAAAAAAACTCAATGACACTTATCTACAGGGTTGACTTACTCACTGTAGTTATTCAGGGCTTTAATTATTAACAGCCACAACAGAAATCTAAAACCCTATGTTTTCGTGATGTAGGTCTTGAAGAGGCGGGCAAGGTGGTAAAAAGAGTCAGTAAAGTTGAGTAAAATGGTAAAAACAGCACAGTTCTGTTACATACATAAAATAGTCCTTCAAATAAATTTTCCTTTTATTTTGGTAATACCCAATAAAAAAATTTTTTAGATCGGCGCAGTATCTTTCCATTTTTTTTTTATAAAAAGAAGCCGATTTGATTTTAAAGAGAAGCGACTGGGGTAGTTTTTACTTTCTTAGGTCTAGTGAAGACCAAACTTGTTCATTTTAAAAAGTGTGATACACTTTGGACACGATGGGCTACTAAAATCGTTCAATAAATTGAATCAGGCATTACTTCCAGCTCCCTTGGCTCCCCTATGAGCACTATGGCTCCTACATTTGTTTTAAAGAGCACCTTACAATTGGGACACACATGATGATTTAACCTAACCAGGGGCTGTATCCGATGCCCCTGCAATAGACTAGTCAGTGGAACCCTGCATCCCCAATATATTAAAAGAAAAAATATATATGTTATATGTCAAATTTTATACAGTTCTAAGACTGACAAGCTAAACTTCCGATTGTATCCCAGTTGTCTTGTTTATACCACAAGTTCTAAGACTGATAAGCTAACCTTCTCTTATTGTATCCCAGTTGTCTTGTTTATACCACAAGTTCTAAGACTGACAAGCTAACCTTCTCTGATTGTATCCCAGTTGTCTTGTTTATACCACAAGTTCTAAGACTGACAAGCTAACCTTCTCTGATTGTATCCCAGTTGACACCTTTAAAAAAAGGGTGAGCTTTAATCTCTGTCCATGTCAGGCGAGAATGGGAGTCAGTGAGGAGCTTTTTAACCAAATCTTTACCATCCTCTGACACATCACTTTCAGTGGGAAATCTTAGGCTGTTCTGTAATAATAGGTGGCCTTTATTTTTTAAATTTTAACAGAATAACATTTGTAGATTAATATTTGAGCTCATATTGACCTTAAAATCCATTATGTTGGCGTAGGTTGAAACCATTGAACCATGTTCATTACTAAATGGAGTTGCGCCAAAGAGCATTTCATAGGCACAGACACCAAGAGACCACCAGTCCACCTCAGGTCCATACGTCAATCTTTGCCGAGCTTTGCTCATAGAATTGAGCAACTCTGGCGCTACATAGTCTGGTGTACCAACTGGCATATGTGCTGTGACCTATAGTAGAAAAAAACATGGGAAAACAAAGGTACTATTAACATTTGGATAGAAAACTAAACAAAATAAACGTGCCTATTCAGATGTTAATGACATACTTTTTTTTCTGAATTAAGTTTAGCAGCTGAGCCAAAATCTGCCAGCTTAACATGTCCAGTACAATCCAAAAGGATATTTTCAGGCTTGATGTCTCTGTAAATAGGAGAAAAATTATCATGTGAAAATAGAGACATAACCCCGGACAAATAATCACATTAACAAGCTACAGTCACACAAACCATCTGACAAATAATCAGATTAACAAACTCATATGCTTTAGACCTCTGTGCCTGAGACAAACAAACATCTGGTAAAACTACATGGCATTAGCATTGTAGTAAAACTAGTCTGATTGTAAGGTTAAATAGTTCAAATTTTTTACCTATGTAAATAGCCCATTTCATGTAAACTGTTAATGGCAATTGCAGTTTCTGCTAAATAAAATTTTGCCATATCTTCTTCAAAAATGTCATCATGCCTGGTTTAATACAGAAATTTAAAACAGAATGAGAAAAAAATAGTTAAAGTACAAGTTAATATATTTTTATGTGTGACTAGATCATACAATAATAATCATTAAAAAAGTTTTAAAAAACCCACGTTTTCTGATTGAACTAAAAAGTAGAAAATAAACGCTATACATCACAATAATGCAAGCGATCACTCTACTATAAGCGATCAAAAACGTGGGGCGCCGAAGTAAAAGTTATATTACTATTGATTAGATAATACTATTGACTTTTATTAGGGAGCTTGTAGAGAGTCAACAGTATTAGAAACTGTAAGAAAATCACGGCGCCCCACGTTTTTGATCGCTTATAGTAGAGTGATCGCTTGCATTATTGTGATGTATAGCGTTTATTTTCTACTTTTTAGTTCAATCAGAAAACGTGGGTTTTTTTAAACTTTTTTAATGATTATTATTTTCTACTTTTTAGTCTTTGTTTGTTTGCATTAAAATCTTGCTATCGATTTTATCTTTTCACTTTTTTTGGGTAAACGAAGACAACTCGTAAAAAGACAATTCGTAAAAAGACAACTCGTAAAAAACACGTTGTGTGAATACGTTACTGACTAGAACACATAGATTTGAACCCGTGTCGAGTGGGATAGCAATCGTGTGCCCAACCACTCGACCATATCGCCTCCCCCAAACTGGCCTACCTCGTGTAAGTTTAAACTCGGATCAAACTAAATTATCTGCCCCTAAGCCTGTGGCGACGTGGGATCGTTCGCTTCACTGCGCGCGAGGTACGCGTCGCTCGTTTTTTTTCTAATGGCTCGCAGAGGAGAATTATATATATAGATTATATAGCGGTCTAAAATGCTCAATAAAATGTTTCCATTGATCAATTTAGTAATAATAACAATTGAATATTCAATTGTCATCCAAAAGAAAGCTTCCCTGAAAATTTCAGCGCGCTAGCTAACTGGGAAGTGCCAGAAATTTCGATCGCAAGATTTGATTGGAAAGACAAACAAATAAACAAATAAACAAACAGAGAAAGCAAGTTAAAGAAAACGTGGAAAAAACAGGAGAATATTTTGGACCAGTATTAATACACTTGCTACAGCTCTATTGTATAATAGTATTGAATCACTGGAACAGCATTGCACTAAGGTATAGCTTATTATAGCAATTGTCTTTAATAAAAGAAGTTAATATTTCACAAATCTGTACCAAATTAATATGAAAATAATGAAAACAATTCCATCGTAGCTATTAATATTAAATTAAGTCTTAAACTGTAAAGATTTAGATAAATAATAATTTGAAAGTTTTAGTTCATACGATGGAAAATGAAATCAACCAGATTAGCTGAAATTAGAAAGGGTCAGATATTTATTTACCAAAATTAACCATTTAGATAGCCAAGCCATATCGTTGTTATGCTTTTGGAATAGCATACGTCATAGCAGAAACATTAGCTATTTTTATTTTTTCCCATACAAGCATGATGAGGTCACAAGAGCCACAGTTGCTAAAAGGAGGGGCAGGTTGGTCTAGTCCTCAGTCACATTTGCAAAGGTTTCAATATTAATTTTAAGTTGCGAAATAAAATAGAAGCAGAGAGATTTGGATAAATTTTAAATACAGGATGGGAGTTAAAATACCGGTAGCTAGAATGGCACGCACGTGACAGAAGGCAGAAGATTAGATCTTTTACTTATATGTGGAATTTGTCTATCTGAAATAGTACTCAAATTATGAGCTTCTGAAAAACCAAAAGTAGAATAAGTTCCACTCCGGTTAATGGAAATTGCTGAAAAGTTGACACAGAACTATAAATTTGATATAATACTTATATATAAAATTTCATCAACCCAGCTGTAACAGTACTCATGTTCACAGACACACATACACATACATACAGACAAAATTGCAAAACCATATTTTTCCAAACCAGGGAGGTGTAAAACGTCGAGATTTGAGAAAAATCTTGATTTTGATTTTTTGCACGATTACAATACTTTCTCTTTACTTACTAAATGAGAAAGTAAAAATTATGGAAAATACAGAAATCTGCCCAAATTAAGAAACTGCCACTTTTCTTAAGAGATTTGTACTCACCTAGATAACAAGGATAATAGGTCTCCCCCAGCATGAAAATCCATGACAAGATACAGGTTACAGGAGTCTTGAAAGGCAAAATGTAACTCAGTAATCCAAGGGCTAGCGCTATTACCCATTATATCTCTTTCCTCTTCATAACAAGAAATCTTATCAAAAATAGAAAAACAAATAGATAATTTTATTTATAATTTGACTGATTAACTTTTTTGTAATCACGCAGTGAAACGTTGCAGTGTGAAATATTGAAAACTTAACATTACCTCTGGTTGTGCAAGCAAATCAGTTTTTCGAAGAACCTTCATGGCATAAATAGCATCTGTTGCTTTCTCCCTGACAACGCGTACTTCTCCAAAGTGTCCTCTTCCTATTACAGCTTTAACCTCAAAGTCTGAGGCTTTCATTCTATGCTTTTTTGACTGGTACACAGTATTTTTGACTAAATAAAAAGTATAATTTTGCAATGATTTGGTTTAAAATTAAAATAAAAAAATGTATTTAAAAATTGCTATTAATCATTTTAGTCAATACATTTTTTTTTTAAAGTTGTAAAACATCTTACACTTGTGTATAAAGGAGGAGACACTTTTTATTTTTAAAAGATTGTCATGTGTACACTCTTCATACAGTGCCAGAAAGCCATCCAGCAGGCATTCCTTGGTCAACATCTCTTTTACCTCATGCATGTTTGCAGCATCTTGATTCTTAGTATGATTTCTGTGGAAACTCATAGTTGCCCTATGAAATCCACTTTGACTTTCTTTTTAAGAACCTGTGAAAAAAATAAAGCAGCAATGTTTTGTAACTGTATACTAAAGTATACTTTGTTTTATGTGGTGGCAGGACGAAATGCTTAATATTAATAATACCTATGGAGAAAGGCAGGAGCTCATGATAGTATTTAATCATAGATCTGTTATTCTAGTATGATAGTGTAAAGTGTAAATTAAATAGAGAGTGGCGCTGGGTGGGGCACACTCAACTCAGTGAAACTGAAAGGCACACTTGAATCGGTAATCTATCGTTTTGGGTACGTAAAATCGCCCGCGGCTATTAATGTACGAAAACGTTACCTCATTGTCAAGGCTGTAATAGAAGTATATTGTGATATGTTTGTGTCAAATATTATAGATAAATGAATAATAAACCTAAATCAATGGCTAAATATATCAATATAGGCCCGAAATTAACTTTAAACAGCAGTGTCTGCAAGCAAGCAAGATTTGCTATATAAACAGCAGCCATTTGTAAAATAGAGTGACTTCCGCCTGAATCTTGCGCTACAAGTCTATAAAAATAAAACTTTAACAAGATGGCTGCTATAGTAAATGAGCATGGTTGCATCTGTTGGAAACATCGCTGGTGTTCATTTATTACTGAAAAGTTTTAATTCAATTGGTTAGAAACAGGTACATAAATGAAACAAGGAAACATTTTTGTATTTTTCAAAACATAAATCCTCCTCAAAATGTGAAATAATTATTAAAATGTAAGGAGTCACCTGTTTTTCACATTACTAGTCGCGGGCGATTTTACGTACCTAAAACGATAGATTACCCTTGAATCTGACTTGCCTGGCACATCAGTAGTAATAGTTTACTTATTACTAGATCTAGTTACTCGTAGGCCTACTAGATCTAGATCTAGCAACCCCAGGAAAGAGAGGGCGCCCAAGACAGTTCTGGAGACTGGAGACTGAGTCTTCTAAAGTGACTTAAAGTCTTAAAGACCTGAAGAAAGCATGGATGTCTTGGGAGGCTGCAAAATCAACAGCCAGGAACAGGACAAAATGGAAGTACTAGACTTAGACTACTAGATCTAGAATCTACTAGACTACTACTGTACTAGATTCTACTAGACTACTACTGTACTAGATTCTAGTACTACTAAATCTAGATTCTAGATCTACTAAGATCTAGCGTCTACTCCATGTTGATGATGTTGATCTTCTATTAAATTCTATTCCCAGACTATTAGTATTTACTATTTATTTAAGTATTTACTATTTAGAATAGATAAGTCGGTAGCTCTACTTACTGTTCTATTTATTTTGTGTAGGCCTATGGTCTGTAATTATCTAGATTCTAGATCTAGATTTAGATTGTAGATTCTAGATACTGAATCTAGATTCTAGATCTATTGAGTCTAAAGAGTCTTCTTTGAATATTCCGCAATGCGTTTTTATTTGCTCTTGTTGGAATGAAAATCAGAGCCAGATTTTGTTTTCAAAATTAGACTAAGCCAAAATATTAATAAATCCTACGGAATGTACTGTAGTAGTGCTAGTTTTTATTTAAGTGTCATTAAAAGTTATTTTAAAGTAATATAAATTAAACGATGCTCAATATGAAACATAAACCCACAGTTTTAATTTCTTTATAACTATTTTTAAAGTATTATCTTTTCTATGGTCTAAACTGTAAACCAAATAGGCAAATGGCCTAACCCTAGCCTACTAGGTAGGCCTAGCCATCGCCTAAAGTTTTAATTTGTGACCAATCAAAGAAGTCGTATAAAGAAAGGTGGGATACTATTTTGTATATTTTACAGGAATTTTGTTTTTCTATGCTGTATGATCAGAGCCGGCGTTAGGGGATGGCAAACGGGGCGGTCGCCCCAGGCCCCGCGCTTGAAGCACTGTCGTTGTTATCTGAATTCGTTTGTAAACTTTGTGAACTTAAATAACTGTTGCTGAATTCAATTGGGGGTCATCCATAAATGACGTCACACTCGTAGGGGGGAGGGGGGTATGTAATTTTGTGACGATGTGTGATGAGGGGAGGGGGGGGGGGTTCAGATGTTGCGACGTCACATTTTTGCAATTATTAAAAAGCAATGTTTTAAAACGAATTTTAGACTTTATTTCGCGTTTTAGATAACTGTTTTAATAAATTGTAATAGTTTAGACAAGATTTTGGAAAAAATATCGATGTTTTAAAAAAATTCAACAGCAATTTTGAGGGGGGGGGTTGTAGGTTGAGGTGTGACGTCATTTTAGGGGGGTCTGGCTTTTTGTGACGACGTGTGACGGAGGGGAGGGGGAGGTAAAAATCGTTTTAAAAGCGTGACGTCATTTATGGATGACCCCTTGGGGAAAACTAAATGGTCGAATACCGACGTTGTTTATTGCTATAACTGAGACCACGGTTGATATTAGTAAGTTAAAAACAAAAGGTAACTGCAGTGAGGTTAATACATTTAGTAATAAAACAGATAGTGTTAGTTACCTCACAAGTTAAAGACAGTTACAAGTACTATGGACGTTTCGGCCCAAGGTCTTCGTCAGCACACAACAGTGTGGTTACAGGTTAGACAAATAAAGACAAACAGTAACACATTTTTAGCGCAATTTTCATTCTGGAGAATTGCGTTTATTAACCCGTCATTTCTGGATGGATGGATGGATGGATGTGTGTTCGCAGCTTTAAGTCGTATCTCCTCCTCAACGAAGCAATATCGAGGACTAGTTCCAAAGCAATTATGTTTAGCAAGTTACGAGGATGATAGTGGGCCAAAAAAATTCCGGAATTCCTTCCTGGATTTCCTAGAAAAGCCAAAAAACCTCGAAAAAATGCAGTTTTTTGCCCATATCTCGGCAATCAGACCACTTAGCGACTTGAAACATTTACCAATCGATTCCTATCATAATTTAGAACAATATTGCCGAAGAAAGTTTTCAAAAATATCCTTTTGTTCGGTCACAAAAAAAATTTTAAACTTACATTATACATAATACACTACAGTACTATATAGCAATATAGTTATATGACTAAAAACCATTGCGCGCCTACTGAACGTGATGGCGCAGCCATGGAACGTGATGACGCATCTATTGAACGTGATGACGATTTAAAATTGTTATGGATAACATAAGGAAATTGCGCTTAAATTGTCACTAGACTTTTTAATTAACTTGTTTGACTTAGCTCGACAGTGAAAACACGTCTTGTCTGCTAGCCACGATATCCAAAAGAGGAGACGCTTGTGAGGGACGCTTGGACACCGTTTAGTGGTGGGGTTAGGGCAGAGTTTCTTCCAGGCATCAAAACCGAACGGCGGTTACACAAAAGTCACTTTTTATGTCATGCCCACTCTTGTTAAAGTGTTTGGCCACAGGATGACCGTCTTCATTGTTGATTGAACGCAGGTGTTGGCTAACCAAGTCAGACAATCGTTTCCCCGTTTGTCCAATATAAAAGATGTTGCATCGCCTGCACTGGAGGACGTAACTACGTTACGGGACTCACAGTTGAAGTGATTTTTAATTTTGAGGGTTCCCTTCTGCAGCTGGAGTGATTCAACCTGAAGGATGAAATGACAGGTATTGCATTTACGGGGACAAGGAGTAGTGGGTGGCAGGCGGCTGCGAACTAAAAGGTCTCTAAGATTGCGTTCCCTACTTCTTTACACAACTAAAGGATTCTGTTGAAATAAATGGCCTAAATGGGGGTCTGACATGAGGATAGAATATTTTTTTTATAGTGATATTTTTAGCCAAAACCGAATGAGGATGGTAGGGTAAGATGAGTTTAGTTCTATCTGACTTTTGTTTTGGAAATTGTTGAAGGGGGGCTTGGTGGTGAACAGTTCTTATGCGGTGTAGTGCTGACTGGAGTATATGCTCCGGGTATGACCGCAGTCGGAAGAACTGTAATAGCTAATGGGCCTTGTTCCAAAAGTCGTCATCATCTTGACAAATACGTCGCAATCTTAATAATTGTGAGAATGGTATCGGATTTTTGCAGGCCGGGGGGGGGGGGGGTGACGAAGAGTACAACAGATATGAGTGTGAGTCAGTTGGTTTGTAGAATACGGTCGTCCCAACGTTGGTTGTGTTAAGCGATATTGTCATATCCAGGAAGTTAACAGAACTGCCTGAAATTTAAGAGGTAAATTTAATGTTTGGGTGGTAGTTGTTGCAGAATGATAAGAAATCTTTCAGTTCTTCTTCTGCTATCTCTGTGATATATAACCCATCATCAATGTACCGCCGATAAAAACCTGGAGTTCTGCCAGTGTATTTTTCATGGATTTGACCCTCCAGGTAACCCATGAAGAGACACGCATAACTGGGACCCATTTTAGTTCCCATAGCTACCCCACTTATTTGGTAAAATAAATGCCCATCGAACTCGAACGAGTTGAGGTTGAGAACTAACTTGGTTAATCTAAGTATGGTATTACTGTCAATAAAGGGATGGGGTTCACCTTGAAGAAGTGTTTAATAGTTAGTAGACTATCTTTGTGGGGTATCGAGGTGTACAACGACACCACGTCTAATAAGAAAATTAATCTCGGTTTATTGCTAGTAAATTTGAGAGATTCTAAATTTAGAATAGCATGGTTGGTATCTTTGAGGTACGATGGTAGTGCTTCAACTCTGTGTTTAAAAACGCTGTCAAGAAAGGAAGATATAGTTTCAGTAGGACAGGCGCATGCTGAATACGTGGACGCTCTATAAACACAAACCTTCTCAGTGACGTAGTACTTGAACTTGGTGACCCTTTCCTTAGGGTATAGCAGCCCGTAGCCATAGATTTAAATGCACAGTTACCCTTCACTTCACCCCACCAACTTGTTTTGTTGATTTTGTAATTTGTCTAAAATTATGTGCCTACTAACACTCTTTTAGTTATTAACAATTTAAACAACTTTATTGTCCTAATTTTTTGGCATGTGATTGAATTTGATTTTTAGTGATTTGGTATCGACTACATAACTGTCAAAAGTGATTTAATATCTTAGCAAAATAAAAACAACTAAGAACATTGGGTTAAAACGTGGGTTGCATGTTTAAAATATACATAGTATACATACATGGCATTGCATACAATATTCCGAGATCATATTTTAAACATGTCATACATTTTTTTATATTTCTTATACAAGACGTCTAAGTTTGCTATAATTAAAACACTGTTCATTCGAAGCGTATTATTTGGGTGGCGGGTGGTGGCTTTCCGTGTGAGCCTTTATACTTTCTAAAGGGAGGCATAGGTTGCAAGAGTGACAGGAGTACATCGTTACTTCAGGATGGTTTTTACTTTCTCGTATATACGTAGTATAGAGAAAGTATTGTAATCGTGCAAAAAAAAAAATCGAGATTTTTACAAATCTCGACGTTTTACACCTCACTGATACGGAAAAACATAATTTTGCAATCTTGTCCGTATGTCTGTGTGTGTGTGTGTCTGTCTGTCTGTCTGTCTGTCCGTGTGTAAACACGATAACTTGAGTACCGTTACAGCTAGGTTGATGAAATTTCATATATAAGTATTTTATCAAAATCGTAGATCCGTATCAACTTTTGAGCGATTTCCGATAACCGGAAGTGGTACTTTTCCTACTTTGAATTTTTCAAAAGCCTATAACTTGAGTACTATTTCAGATAGATAAATGAAATTTCACATGTAAGTAAAAGATCTAATTCTCTACCTTCTGTTAAATTTTGAGTAATTTCCGTTGACTGGAAGTAGTAATTTACGCTACTTCCGATTTCTCAAAAAACTAATGTAAATTTTTAAAGTACTAATAATATTGCGCACTATTATACGCGTTTTTATTCGGCGTTTGCTTGGTGCGCAATGTTTTTTTTATGAGATTCTATTCTATTTTTAAAAGTTTAAGTATTTAAAATGGATTAAAAATCATAACTATATCCCCAGTTACCATCCCCTGTTGTTTTATATAAGAATATTCGAGAAAGTTTAGGGGAGATCACTACCGGTTTATTTATATAGTGCCCGTATATGTCTAGGTACCAAGTCCAATCTGTGTGCGGAATCTTGTCAATACAAATTTCACAAAGTAAGAAGTTCCCGTGTTCATGGCGTTCGTGTATTTTAGCTTCCTCAACTGATTTGCATCGCTGGGTGTAAAATCTGCACTTTTTGTCGTCGAATACTGATTTTGTAGTTTTTTTTTATTTTTTGCTGTTTATTTTGTGTCTGTGGGGCTGTCTTCCTTTTTCCTTTTTGGACTTGTATATTCGGGCATATCTGTATCTGTGCTGGGCTTGTTATGTTCGAGAGTTGGTTTCAAAGTAAACGTAAAATTGACTGGGTAGAGCGAGGATGGTAGAGGAGAGTTCGATTTGAGAGTTGTTGATGCAGATGGTTTAACGGTTGGTGTTTTCGCTGTGCTCGTACTAGGGGTTATTGGCTTGCTTGGCGGTTTGGCTGGACTAGTTGGTTT